GAAAGATAGACGGAGTGCTATGTACACTTCTAGTGAAGTCAAACCAACCCAAATCCATGCTCATGTTACTGCAAGAAAACGCACTCACGCAAACATACATTTAAAATCATTTGCAACCAACAACATGGTTTTAGGTGCGTTTGTGTGCGTCAAGCAGTGGAATTTTACGGGATCTTAAAGAAAAAAATAAGAAGGAAAGCATGCCAAGTTGAGCAAGGTTTCGGCGTCACTTGAAATATACGTTGCGCTCCGTCTATGTTGTTTGTTGGTCTGAGGTAATAAATAATTAATACATATTAGGCACTTATTATGATTGATAGAACACTAAGTACATTATTATATATTTCTAAAGAGAAAAAAAATTACACCACAACTAAATACAGCAAAAACATAATTCAATTAGGTTTCGTTGTAATTTAAAATATCAATAAACTCATTCCTGTTTTCAAAAATATATTTTTAGATCAATGAAGATAACTTATTTATTATTGTAGGTATTTCTAACGATTGCACAGGTTTTTTACAGTTTACACTTTAAGTGTATAAATATCGATGATATAATATAGCCTACACAATCGCTCAAAATGGCGGCTAAGTTTAATAAATATGTGATAATGCTATTTTCTGTCGTTAAATAATGTGTTTATTATCATATATATCTATTGGCTTTTGTATTTCTATTTTATTTGCAAATTTACGTGAAATTATTAATATTATATTTAGATGAGCCGGTCGAACACCTACATAATAAAATATGATAAACATCAAATATTTAGAACCTTATTTTCTATTCTAATACATTTTATATTATTTATTATATTTTACTTCTTCTTAGTATATAAAATTTATAAACATTTTAATTTTTGTCAACATTCAAGAATATTCATATTTTTTTAATTAAATAAATCTTATAAAAAGACGAAACAATAACAATTTCTGCACCAGTAGTGAAATAATACATCAAAGGAACTATACAAAATTAAGTACATTTAGATATATACAATATATTACCTAATTAAATACACAAATGAAAAATTTATTTGATTCAACGTTTATAATACTATTAACGTTGCTTTAAAAGCAACGGTATAATGGTAACAATCTATTCTTTTTTAATTTCACGATTTTACACTATGCATGCAATGAGCTACTATAGCTGCATTATAAATCACAGTAAAATTACATGTTACAATATTTATCTTAGAGAACGGAAGCTTAAAGTAAGCAAGATACAAGTAAATAAAGTATCTTTGTTTACGGAATCAGTATTCTGGAATGTATATGACGTTTTAAAAACAAATGCTTAAAAGGTATTTACTTTCACCCTCTTGATTAACATTATATATTGTTTAATGTTTATACACATGTTTTTCTTTTATGCTGTATTAACGTTTTTGTAAGATTGCACTTTAACACTACAAACATATGATACATATTTTTAATTTTTTCGTCTTATGATATATTTTTAATTGTGTCGAAGTTATCTCTTTTTTCTGCTATTTTAGTTCTGTTCTCAATAGGGCGCTTATTATAGCAACAAATATTAGATAGAACAAGATAAAAATTAGGTAGAACAATCAATGACAACTGATTTTATGCGATCATTAAGGATTTTTTGAATTTGCTAAAATTTTCGAGATATTGAAATAAATAATTCTTTAATGGTTTCAAGAATAGGTATAACCTCTTAACAGTTTTAAATTCACACAATACAAGAACACATACTTATAAATTTCATAATTTTTCCGGTTTTATACTTTCAACTAAATCTTGTTTTATTATTGGCGGCTATGAATTCGCACGTGTGTACTGGGGCTGCTTGGACTGATAATTTTTTCATAGCTCTTTTAAATGAGAAGCCTGTGCCCAGTAGTGGAATGTATATGTAAGCTGTAACTAACTTTATACTGTACCGCTTTTTGTTTCTGTATTTTCCTTTTAATTTATAATTTATTTTTATATAATACTATCAAGAAGAAATTACATTAATAGCGATTAAGCCGGCTTGTCTTTAATATTGTTTTTTGGTCTAATCTAAGTTCATATAATGCAGCTAGGGATCAAATAATTTCATATATCATTAAATTCATAGGTAGACTGTGCAGCTATTAAGCAGGATTACGCGAATATTTTTTTTTAATTCAAACAAAAAATGTTTTTCTTTCTATAAAATCTCTATAATCTAATTTTGTATATTATAATATATTATAATTGAATGGTCCGAACGAATTCAGATATAAAAGTGTCCTGCGTAAAAAATCATCTAAGCTATAAATATATTATGTATTAATATTTCTGTATTCTAATTGCATTGTTAATTTTTATTTTTTATTCTATATTTCTGTTATAATGTAATTTAAGTGGGTTGTACTTATTTATAGATTTGTTAAATTGCCTTCTTTAGAGAAATTCTCAGAAAACTACATTTGCATTAGTTGCAAGCACTGCACCGCACTTTTAGTTTTATTATTTGCATGGTGCATATATAATCTACATTTTAAGTATACGGTTGCGCTATAGTCTATCAATTGGACAGCTAGTTCTTCCAAGCACTTTCATCATTTGTAGCCTATAACTATAATAATATTTATATCGAAATTTAAAAAGAGGATAGAGATAGTCTTCAAAGAACTACTTTGCACGGTGAATTTAATATTTCGATATCTATAAATGGTTGTAAAATAAACGCGAATTAAACTTACCTTATTAAAATGCAGGTATACGATTGTAGTTACTATAAGAACCTGTATTTTGTCTGACAATTGTGAATGACAGAGACAAATCTAGTAAGCTAAAACTAGTCGATTGTGACCAAGTCTCTTTCTACAGCTCGACGTGACTTATCGATCGGAACATATGATACTCTTAATATTGGCATAGTGTTTTTGGAGCTGACATATTGTACAACTAAATCAAATATACTAGTGGAAATATTTATTTAAAAATAATACTCATCGATTATGCACTTTACTTCCGATGCAATAACGTACATTTTACTTTAATTAAGTACAAATCATTCAAATGCGATGATGAATAGTAAGCTTAATAATTATAAATATCATTCACTAAATGGTTATTAATTTTATTTTATTGTTTAGTTTCAAACCGAAAAGAGAGAAAGAACGCTGCGTACACATTTCAAGTATAAACGCAAAAACCAAGCCACAACCATCCTCAACTTATTGTAAAAACAAACATTCACGTTCACATATGCATCTAAAATTATTTGCAACCTACAACATGGTTTTAGGTGCATATGTGTGGGTCCAGCAGTGAACTGTTACTGGCTGATAAAGAAAGAAGACGGATGTGTGAGTACGTGCGCTCAAGAAGTTAAGCATGGTTTTTGCATCACTATAAATGAAGGCAGCGCGCCTCTCTTTTTTCGCTAGTTTGATTGTAGAGTATGAATACCAAATTCAAATTCTATATATAGATATTTATAGCAATCAGCATTTAATAATACATCCAAGGATCAATATTTTTTACAAATGCTGGATCTTTTCACCCACACTCATACAAATAATATAATTATAGAATGAGGATTACATAACATGATATTAAATATATAATTATGTTATAAATTGAACAAGCATCGAGTTTTAACTTATATATAATACTAGGTAGCCTGACAGACATTTTGCTGCTTCCGGTAGGCGCGTTACACTCCGAATTCACTGTGGATTTTTTATAGTGTAAATCAACCACAGAGCTATTTATCTGGTCCAGATTCTGTGATTTTCTTTTTCGGAACTAGACCGATACGAGTCATTTTTCATTAAGCATAGTTTGTTTATCTTGACTACAGCGCCACCTATCGGATGCTAGCATAGCTATGGACCATCGTTTATGAAACAAATACATTTGCAAATATGACCTCAATCGCTCAAGTCGCTCAGAAGTTACACGACCACTAACAGACTCCCCAACGATTAAATTTATACAGATAATAAAAACAAAAGTAACTCTTGTTTATAAAAAAATTTGTACATTCACAGAATAAATATAAAAAATCAATGGCACACATATTGTAAATACGATATGGCATAACTAGGAATGTATTTGAATATAATACAATGAAATGCTATACGGCAAGACTTCGTTTATATTGGAATGTAATGAATTGTGTAGACCTACAAATGTCTACTCTGCTACCAATCTCCTAACTTGGACTCGCGACCAGCACAGGAACTCTAACCATTCACCTACGTTGTATTACATTAACTATGGAACAGCTGTTCGCTTTGAAACTATAATCATTAAGTTAGATTTCCCTGAATTTCAATAGATTTATTTAAATATAGTTTTTAATTTTACATTTGTAAACAGAACATATAGCTAAACCTACTTGTTCTAAAGGAGAGAAAGAGATATCTATTGAGTACACATAACAAATTATAAATAAGAATAGATCTAGTAGATAACATGACGTTATAATATTAGAGGGATATATATTTTCTAAATAAATATTATTTGACATCAATAACAAAATTTGTACATATTAGTGAGAGAGAACAAACAAGTGTTAAAAAGAGAGAAAAGTATTATAAATCTTCTTACAATTGACCATGATTTTATTACCACTAATAAAATTATATAAAATTCAAACTATGCTATAATTTATAAAACATTAAGAAAGTAACTTGTCCATAAAAAGGAGAAAAGTATTTACACATCATATAAACGTTCAGAATTTAAATATGAACAAGGTTTTCAAAAGTTAAAACGTAGAAAACGTTCGGAGTTAATTTCCGCCTACCCACATGCTTCATGGTAATGTAGGATTACTAACTTTTGTGGGTCGAGTTAAGTTATCAAGACAAAGCCGAATTCAATAATTCTAGAATTATGCCCAATGAAATGAAATCAAGGATTCCGACTCTTTTTATAATTAAAATACTGATAAGGAGCAAAGAAAACAAAAGAGCCAAACACCGGTAGGTCTACACCACGCATGAGCAATCGACGAAAAAAACCATATGTGATAAACAAAACGAAGCTTAAATCTTTGTGAGGAGTCCGTCCAGCTCGAGGACTTCAGGCACCTCGATGTCTTCTAGCCGGATGGACGACGGGTTGAACGGGAACTGAACTGAGAATATCATCTTCGAATCCATCAGCAAGCTCTGCTGAAAACAAATAATATTTTTTCAGAGTTTTTTCTTCATCTTCTTTATTAGTCGTGAAAGGTCACAGCTGTAAGTGGACCTCTCCCGTTATAGGAAGGATCATCGCAGTACCAGACGTCTTGCAACGTTCTAGGTGTTTTACGTCAAGCGTAAACAAGATGATTGTAACGCCATCTATCGGAAGCCGTAAGAATTTTCTGGCATTTTCCATAGTTGCCTCTTACAACAACCATAGGACAAAAAGAGCTGATGGATTCTATTGCGCCGCCCTCAAACAGCAGTTAGATAGTCCATGATTAATTCATACATCCAGATTCAATTGTTGGCGGAGAAAAACGAGGTGATGTCGATAGGTCTCTAGTTGAATGGGTCTCTGACCGGCAAGGATTGAATAACCGAAAAAATTATGGTTAAAACGGTTAGCGGTATGACGTTACTCCTTTAAATTTCGATACCTTAAAATAAAGATACCTTTAAATTAGTATACCTTAAAGTAACTGTACCTGTATAATTTCGATATTGTAATATTGCGGTATCATTACTTTTTCAAGTATTTAAATTATAAAATAAAGGTTTTCTTTGTACCCTAGCGCCCGCGCCGAGGCGTCACGCGGCGTGTCGGCCGCAATGGTAAGAGAGTAAGGTACTTGTGATCGAATATTCACTGATATTCGTTATTGGTGCGGCAGCAATACAAAGCAGGTATTCTTTTGCCATTTTGCCGCAATTCATGTTTCCGCGTCTACTTTGTTTATCAACTTAATTACAAGTGTGCTTTGCTGAAACTTTACAACTAGATTGTCGCTAAGATGGATAAAAGTAAGTACAAACTCATTAAGCATGTCTTAGCCGATTCGTTACGATACCAATTTTCGACAACTTTTAGAGCTGTAGCAGCGAACAATTATTTTGTGACACGCTTGTCGTATGAAGCGCCATATAAGTAAACCACAGCCGCCGCGTCGCACGATCTTCATCGCATCATTTTTTTCGGTACCGAAATTATTTCGATAAAGGTATTAGTAATATATAGGTATAACGATCATCATCATCATTCATTACAGCCCTTCACAAGTCCACTGCTGAACATAGGCCTCCCCCAAAGAATGCCACAAAACACGGTCCTGAGCCACCTGCATCCATCGACTTCCTGCATGTCTTACCAGGTCGTCACTCCATCTCGTGGGGGGACGCCCTACACTTCGCCTACCGGTACGAGGCTGCCACTCGAGAACCTTTCTTCCCCATCGGTTGTCGGTTCTTCGAGCTATATGGCCGGCCCACTGCCACTTCAGCTTACTAATCCGTTGGGCTATGTCGGTCACTCTGGTTCTACTGCGGATATCCTCATTCCTAAGTTTATCACGCAGAGAAACTCCGAGCATAGCCCTCTCCATAGCTCGCTGAGCGACCTTGAGCTTCCTCATACGGCCAGCAGTGAGGGACCACGTCTCAGTTCCGTAAGTCATCACTGGCAACACAATGGTTGTACAATTTCGTTTTAAGGTTTTGAGGTATGTCTGACGAGAAGATGTGTCGTAGCTTCCCGAACGCTGCCCAGCCGAGTTGAATCCGTCGATTGACCTCTCGGTCGAAGTTGGACTTACCCAGTCGGACTATTTGTCCCAGGTAAACATACTCGTCAACAACTTCGAGCTTAGTGCTCCCAACAACTACCGGCATAGGTGTGACATGGACATTAAACATGATCTTTGTTTTGTCCATGTTCATCTTAAGACTTATCCATTGGGAAACACTATTGAGGTCATTGAGCATAGTGCTTAGGTCCTCCAGCGATTCTGCCATAAGGACTATATCGTCGGCAAATCGAAGGTGAGTGATGTACTCGCCATTGATGTTGATACCGTATCCTTTCCAGTCCAGAAGCTTGAAAACGTCTTCCAATGCAGCGGTGAAGAGTTTCGGGGATATGACGTCACCCTGTCTTACACCTCTCTGCAATTGGATAGGTTTCGTACTCTGGTTCTGTACTCGGATAGCCATCGTAGCCCTACTGTACAAGCACTTCAACACTTCGATATACCGACAGTCAACTTGGCACCGCTGAAGGGACTGCAGCACCGCCCAAATTTCGACGGAATCAAAGGCTTTCTCATAGTACTTTTCTTTCTCATAGGACTTCTGTACAACTTGCCGAAGGGTATGTATGTGGTCTATGGTGCTAAAGCCCTTTCGGAAACCGGCTTGTTCGGGAGGCTGGAAGTCGTCAAGTCTGCGCGCGAGACGATTCGTAATGACTCTCGAAAACAGCACGTAGACGCGGCTCAGAAGGGAAATCGGTCTGTAGTTCTTCAAGAGAGCGTTGTCACCTTTCTTGAAGAACAAGACCACCGCACTTCTGCTCCACGCCTCCGGTGTAATGCCACCATGGAGGACGGAATTAAAGAGCTTCTGAAGGACTTCAAGTACCGGTCTTCCACCCGCTTTCAGAAGCTCCGCTGTAATTCCATCCTCGCCTGGGGCCTTACCGTTTTTAAGGTGCTGGAGAGCCATCCTAATCTCGCTCAGACTGACATCTGGGATATCTTCGGAATAGTGTCGGATGAGACTCGCTCTTGGATCGTTACTCACACTTGCGTGTGGCTCCAACGATGATGTGTACAGCTGCCCATAGAACCTCTCAATCTCACTCAAAATCTCAGGTGTCCCGGAAACGATGCTGCCACATTCTGTCTTCAGCTTTGACAGTTGGCTCTTTCTGGCAGGCAGATCTCTGGCAAAGACTTTGGAGCCTTGGTTCCGCTCGATCGCTTCTTCAATACGAGCTGTATTGAAGTTGCGTAAGTCCCGCCGCATGCATTTGGAGATCTGTCTGTTCAGATGCCTGTATGCTGTCAAGTCTGTTGAAGAATGTAGCTTCATCTCCCGTCTAACAGCCATGAGATTAAGAGTGTGATCGGAGAGTTTTTGTGTTCTTCTGCGGCGGGTCTTGCAGAACTTAGCTCCGACCGCATGGACAGTTTCCACGAGCTTGTCATTCATATCGTCCACTTCATTGCAGTCTTCCAGGCACTGAAAACGGTTTTGTAACACGAGCTGAAAGGTTTCGGGACTTTGGAACAGAGCACGAGGGGGACGGAGCGTTGACTTCATTAGACGAGACCTCTCCAACTTAACGTTTAGGTTCAGTGTGCCTCTAACCATTCGGTGATCGCTACCAGTTTTCACCCTCGCGATCACGGAGACATCACTGAACAGTTGTCGTCTGGTCGTCATAATGAAGTCAATCTCATTTTTTGTGGAACCGTCGGGGCTCGACCAGGTCCACTTCCTGTGGGGCCGCTTCTGGAAGAAAGAGTTCATCATAAAGAGTCCCTCTTTCTCCATGAAGTCGGCCAGCTGCTGGCCCCTTGGGTTCCGTTGCCCTATTCCAAATTTCCCTACTTTCAGCTCACCGTTCTCTCTTGTGCCTAGTTTTGCATTGAAGTCTCCCATTAACACCGTATATTGGGTTTTGGAGGAATGCATGGCTCTAGAGATATCCTCATACATTTCCTCCACCTCCTCATCGGGGTGTGCCGAGATTGGTGCGTAAACCTGTATGACCTTCAGCGAATACCGTTTGGTGATTCTGAGTATAAGGTACGCAACCCTCGTCGACACACTCCCGATCTTTACAACGTTGTTAACGAGAGACTTGTGGACGATAAATCCGACACCTCCTTGGGACAGATGGTCGCCCTCCCGGTGATAGAGCAAGTTGCCGGATTCGAGGATTACCGTGTCCTCCCCCTCTCTTCGGACTTCGGATAATCCTATAATATGCCAGCGCAACTTGTCTATCTCTTCTTCCAGCTCCACGATCTTCTCGTCAGTCCTCAGGGTGCGTGCGTTGTACGTTGCCAGGTCGAGTCGTCTAAGGTGGCAACCGAACCTCCACCGGAGATTCTTAGCACCCCCTGCCCCGCCGTTACCATGGTCGCCACCGTAGCCAGGAATAGCGGGGCCGCCGGGGACTGGGGGCCGTTTGTAACTGTCATTCATAGGGGGGTATTTGCCATAGTTGCCACGCTTGGCGAGCGGGTTGGCAACCGCAGTTTTTTATTGTAATTTGGCTATTATCAGGAAGATGCTGCTGCCCATCTCCTGCCTGTTTCCCTTTGTCGCCTTTTACGACACCCACGGGAGGATATGGGGTAGTGGATATTCTTGACCGCCACTACACGGCTAACCGCCACTACACGGCTACCGTAAAAAAATATATGTATAATTATTTTTTTAACGTTACCACAAACGTAATATTCAACCGTTTTGATTCTACCTTTAAATCGAAGCTGTATCGTAATTCCATACCGGTACCACACCCTTATACCTTTACGCTTCAACCCCTGCTGACCGGTCTCCTTTTTAACCCCCGACGAAAACAAAGGAGTGTTATATGTTTGTAGTGTGTATCTGTGTGTCTGTGTATCGCATCCATAGCTCCTGTAAGGATGAACCGATTTTGATTTGGTTTGTTTGAAAGGTGACTTAATCGGAAGTGTTCTCTGCTAAGTATCAAGAAAATCTTTTCGTTTCAGCCGTTCGAAGATCATCAGCTCTTTTTGTTTCGGTTTTTTTTTTAATTTTAAATTTAACTTATTATTTTTGGAAACGGGTGAACTAAAAATGTCTTTCACGAGTTTGGAACGACGAATTACGAGTAGGAGTAACGGAAAACTGCTTAAAAATTAATGGAAAAAGACACGTAAGAACCGTTGACCACTTTAGATCATGTCAGCGCAATTGGGGAGATTCCATGCAGCACAAGTGGGGAGATTCCATGCAGTACATTTGACTTATGGTAGTCTAGGAGTGCGCACAGAGTTCTGCAGAAATCGAAAGTCCTGTCTGGAGCATTAACGCTGCGGGATGGTCGGCGGCGTGTTCCTCCTATCGTCGAGAGTCCAGATGGATGCAAAAAGGCAGCTTAAAAGATTGGCTGCAATGGGAGAGGCCTACGTCCAGTTGGCATGAAACGAGCTGATGAAAAAGAGCTTGCAAATTAAAGTAATACCTTGACTAACACACATTCCACAGCAAGGCACAGCGGCCCAGCTGTGGAATGTATTCAGCCCATTATTTTTTCTGGAAAGATTTTATATTAAAAATCACATAATATCACAAAACTCACGGATTCCTTGCCAGCCGTGGGTCCGGCGCGCTCCTGCATCTTCTTCTGTATCTCGTGTATGAATTCGCGCGTTACTTTCACTTCGTACTCCTCGGCCGGCGTGTACATGTTCAAAATCTGTGAGTGATAAATATTGTTCTCTTGTGATATCTTTTATTTCTTTTTCTTTTTACAAATTATACATAAATTGCTGTACAAACATCCAGGCCTGGAACAACTTTCGATCAATAATAGTATAACTCCAAATTCATATATTTTTTATAGAATAAAGGTGTCAAACGAGCCGCATATATGGATCTAGCACGTGGTAAACCTATCTAAATTTCAGACCAACAAAAAAGGACAGAATACTAAGTACATATCAATCTCTAATATTGTTAGGCATGGAGGTTGAAAATAAAAGAAATTACGAATAGGGTAGGTAAGGTAGACCTCTAATCTCGAACTCGTTCTAGCAGTATAAAGTGAAATGCAGGCGACGAGGAATCAGTCACTTAAGTATCAGTTGTTCAGAAGTTTCTCTCACTGTAACATCTAGTCTAAATCACTGTGTGATTATGCTCATTGGAATAATTTCTTTGGTAAGTATAAAGAACAAATTTTTTAGACGTGGTAAAGTCATGCTGCAGCTATATTAGTACTATAGTTGTAGCACGAATGGGTCGACTCGACCGGGAAAGGACCACGCTCTCACAAAACATATAAATAGGAACTTAACACTGCTGTGTTTTGTATGGTGAGTGTAGAGAACCGGAGATCCTTTTACTGGAAAAGAGGCATTCCATCTTAGTCCTCACGGGTGACAACGCATCTGCATTTTGATTCGTAATCGAGGATAGATGTAGATGTCTATGAGCCACAGCAATCACTTACTATTAGGTGGACTGAGTGCTTCTTTTATCATCCTATACCCTATAAAAAAAAAAGAAAACAGAAAGTTATAATATTACGAAGACGCTGCCGTGTATTCATAGGTAGCATTACTGTTGGTTTGCATACTTAATCTATTATGTTATATGTACTTCTAACTGCTTAAGATAGAATGGGATTATTTGTAAAAATATAATAATTAAGCACTGTATTACGTGTTTGTATGTATGTAACTACCAACTTCATTTGATAACATTAATTCAGTATGTAACTTGTATTGGGCACAGGCCTATAAAATATAACAAATATTGTAATGCCTGAAAAGGGTGGGGGTTAAGTTGTGAAACACGTAACATTATAAATGAACACCAAAATGTAACACTTAACATATAATAAATATTTTAAATTTGAATATTTTTTTAGTTACCTTACAAACTTGCATGGCAGTGAGATCGGCGCACATTTCGACCGTGCTGTCCACGTCGATCATAGACTTGCGCGCTTGCAGCAACTGCACTGCTTGAGTGATGGGCTTCAGTACACCGAGGATCTCTTCAACCTAGCAAACAAAAGTTACCACCTGTACGAGCATGTACTGCAACGTACTTTTGTCAAGTCATCATTTCACAACTTGACCTTTTCTACATATTTCCGCGGCAAATGTATTTTAAAATCAGTTCGCTTATAGTCATCAAGAGCGCTACGCGTACTCATTATCAGTAGTTCTAGCTTTTATAATTTGTAAACTTATCTATGCAAATAAATAAAATTGAAGTTTCTGTTTGTAATGTTAAAATAACAGCTTTTTACCAAATGCATATGAGTGTATATACGGTACTTATAACAAAAACACAATTTTTAAAATTTTTGTCTGTCTGTCTGTCTTGTTCCGGCTAATCTCCGAAACGACTGGACCGATTTGGACGGGACTTTCACCGGCAGATAGCTGATGTTCTAAGGAGTAACTTAGGCTACTTATATTTGAGAAGAAGAATTAGGATTCTGAGCAATATAATTAAAACCCTAAATTACACGCGGATGAAGTCGCGGAGGACAGCTAGTCCACAATATATTTTTATCAAACTTATCAAGCGTTATCAGTTTGTCATCCCCTTAGTGTCGGTACCAACACTATGTAACAAACTAATCATTATTGTTACCGTTACATTCTATCCAAAGTCCATGCTGAAAAGATCCCCCATAGATCTCATAGAGGGGATATTTGTCAAAGTTGCCACGCTTGGCGCGCGTTTGGGCAACCGCAGTATTTCATTTTTTAGTTGTTGTGTTGTTAGGAAGACGCTGCTGCCCATTCTCCTAGTTTGTTTTCCTCTATCCCCTTTTACGACACCCACGTGACGCTGGGATAGTGAATATTCCCTCACCGGTCACTACACGGTTATGCTTAAAAACCTAAAGGTGATATTTAAAAAAAAACAACCATGGAATAAGATTTTCAACCCTGACTCAATAGACATTTTAAAAGAAGATTACACACAAATGAGATCAATAATGTTACAAATAGATTTGAAATCATCAACACCTATATAATAAATTATTATACATAAATGATTATTAAGCATACATATGCTTCACATTTAGTAAATCATAAAACCATAGAGTAACATAGGTAAAAATAATAAGATTTGTGGGTAGTTTAACAGCACTGTACACTATAAATGGATCTGCCATAGCTATCTTAGTTCAGTTCAGTTCACTTCAGTCGTGTGCAAGTGAGTCACTCTGCTAGTAGTTGTTATCATTTACATTAAGTAAAGTATAATATAATTATTGTGATTCCTTTATAAAGTGAATAAAAAGTGCTACAAGGTAATCTGTTTTACTTCATAGTTACGTATTTAAAAATAATTAAATCTTTACGTTAGCAATTAAGCTTACATTGAATTATCTTCAAACAACTGTACTAACGATTAGATCTTTTATTGAATGGTTTTGTCGATGCTTTTTTTTAGTTCAAGTCACCTATGAGAAGGTGCTTTGACTGCGTCATTGGTTTTGTGGAAATAAACGCGTCTGTTGATCGTGAGGTCCCGAGTACGAATCCTGGGTCGGACCAAAAACCGGTTATTGAGTTTTTCTGTCAAAAATTCTCAGTAGCAGCCGGAGTCAGGAAGTTGGTCGGGTTTCAATCCCGGGCCTCGTAAAGCCTGATGTCACTCCGGTCGCATCGGAGTTCCGTCCTATCTGACTATGAAAGTGAGGACGTGCACCTACGCTTGAGCATACTCTAGTGTACTATGGCCCGTGTTAATAAACGTTACTCAGCTCAAGTACACGCACTTGAGTACAATCTTGAGGTTATGAGTTTATTAATAAACATATCTCAAAATGCGGTTTAGGTTTACGATATCAGCTGAGTGCCACACTGATTAATAAACGAAACTCGACTCTCAAGTGTGTGTATTTGAGTGCAAGCCACAGAACAGTATTCCTAAGTACAGCGTTTTCAGATACTGTTCTTATGTGTTTATTAATTAGCAACGATCTTGAGATGCTGATATCGTAATGAGAGCGTATCAAATGATTACGTACTTGAGTTCGTCGTTGAGTAACGTTTATTAATACTGTCCTATGATCCTGTCCTGCGCAGGTGACTAACTTCCGTTGAGAATAGCCACCGTGACGAAAATTCAGTCTGGGGACATTATTATTAAGAGATATTATACATATTGAGTAGTTCACGTAGTTTTAAATTATAAGAGTGCTTACGCTCTTCTGTCCATATTCGGCGAGATGCTCTTTAATCCAAGTCTCGAGATGTGAGATGTTGTACCGGATTTGCAGACCCTTGGCCCAGCAGCAGAGATCTTTGCGGAGCAGCAGTTGATTTAAGCTGTATGCGCAGATGTAGTAAAACAACTGAAAGAAAATATTATTATGTATACTTTGTTTCATCATCGTATCATCATTAGAGAGCCTGTAAAAATCTAGTGATGAACATAGGTTGTCTAAAGATATTTGTCATACTTGGCAGTCGAGTAGGCAACCGCAGTTTTTATTATCTTAAGTTGTAATTAGAAAGATGTTGCTATTCATCTCTTGTTTCAGTTTCCTCCGTAGTTTCTTAGACGCTGTATATTTGTTAAAGTCGCCAAGTTGTACGAGTAAGCAACGGCAATTTTTTTAGTTGTTAGATGAAGACCTGTCTTTCTTTTAGGTTTTTCCCTTTATAGTCTCTTACGACATCCACGAGATGATACGTGTAGTGGATAGTCTTACATTACATGATTATATAATTGAATGCAATTTTAACATTCTTTGGAATTTTTATGAAAATTAAGAGTAACTATCGTAATACTCTGTAGTAAATTATTTCGTATGGGCTCGTTGAGGTACTGCTGTGTCTATGTATGTGAAATAAGTTTCCCTCACCTTTCAAAGGGGGTGTTTTGTATTATCAGGAAGATATCATGTTTATTTTGTGTTTAGTTTTTCTTTGTCGCCTCAGTACAGTAATTATTTTTAAGGCTAAAATCGGTTAAACAATGACAGCTGACAAGTGACAGGCAAAAAAAGCATGCGTTTATTTTCAAGAATTTTTTATATTTGTTCATTTTTATTTTTCATTCCCGAAAGTATTGGTTTTATAAAATAAGCTCGAAATTTTCGGGATTAAACAAATCTCACTTATGAAATAGAAATATTTCAAGATAAAATTTCTCTTTGTAGTTATTCAGCGTGGCGGTGAACGGCGACCGACCTGCTTGAAGATGGTGACGGTGAGCGAAGCGTCGACGGCGAACGTGCGCAGGTGGTCGCGCACCCCCGCCAGCTCGTGCTTGAGCCGCGCGGGCCCGGCCGTAGCGCCCCCGCGCCCCCCGCACCCCCCGCACCTACCTGCTTGAAGATGGTGACGGTGAGCGAAGCGTCGACGGCGAACGTGCGCAGGTGGTCGCGCACCCCCGCCAGCTCGTGCTTGAGCCGCGCGGGCCAGGCCGTAGCGCCCCCGCGCCCCCCGCACCCCCCGCACCTACCTGCTTGAAGATGGTGACGGTGAGCGAAGCGTCGACGGCGAACGTGCGCAGGTGGTCGCGCACCCCCGCCAGCTCGTGCTTGAGCCGCGCGGGCCCGGCCGTAGCGCCCCCGCGCCCCCCGCACCCCCCGCACCTACCTGCTTGAAGATGGTGACGGTGAGCGAAGCGTCGACGGCGAACGTGCGCAGGTGGTCGCGCACCCCCGCCAGCTCGTGCTTGAGCCGCGCGGGCCCAGCCGTAGCGCCCCCGCGCCCCCCGCACCTACCTGCTTGAAGATGGTGACGGTGAGCGAGGCGTCGACGGCGAACGTGCGCAGGTGATCGCGCACCCCCGCCAGCTCGTGCTTGAGCCGCGCGGGCCCGGCCGTAGCGCCCCCGCGCCCCCCGCACCCCCCGCACCTACCTGCTTGAAGATGGTGACGGTGAGCGAAGCGTCGACGGCGAACGTGCGCAGGTGGTCGCGCACCCCCGCCAGCTCGTGCTTGAGCCGCGCGGGCCCGGCCGTAGCGCCCCCGCGCCCCCCGCACCCCCCGCACCTACCTGCTTGAAGATGGTGACGGTGAGCGAAGCGTCGACGGCGAACGTGCGCAGGTGGTCGCGCACCCCCGCCAGCTCGTGCTTGAGCCGCGCGGGCCCGGCCGTAGCGCCCCCGCGCCCCCCGCACCCCCCGCACCCCCCGCACCTACCTGCTTGAAGATGGTGACGGTGAGCGAAGCGTCGACGGCGAACGTGCGCAGGTGGTCGCGCACCCCCGCCAGCTCGTGCTTGAGCCGCGCGGGCCCGGCCGTAGCGCCCCCGCGCCCCCCGCACCCCCCGCACCTACCTGCTTGAAGATGGTGACGGTGAGCGAAGCGTCGACGGCGAACGTGCGCAGGTGGTCGCGCACCCCCGCCAGCTCGTGCTTGAGCCGCGCGGGCCCGGCCGTAGCGCCCCCGCGCCCCCCGCACCTACCTGCTTGAAGATGGTGACGGTGAGCGAAGCGTCGACGGCGAACGTGCGCAGGTGGTCGCGCTCCCCCGCCAGCTCGTGCTTGAGCCGCGCGGGCCCGGCCGTAGCGCCCCCGCGCCCCCCGCACCCCCCGCACCTACCTGCTTGAAGATGGTGACGGTGAGCGAAGCGTCGACGGCGAACGTGCGCAGGTGGTCGCGCTCCCCCGCCAGCTCGTGCTTGAGCCGCGCGGGCCCGGCCGTAGCGCCCCCGCGCCCCCCGCACCCCCCGCACCTACCTGCTTGAAGATGGTGACGGTGAGCGAAGCGTCGACGGCGAACGTGCGCAGGTGGTCGCGCACCCCCGCCAGCTCGTGCTTGAGCCGCGCGGGCCCGGCCGTAGCGCCCCCGCGCCCCCCGCACCCCCCGCACCCCCCGCACCTACCTGCTTGAAGATGGTGACGGTGAGCGAAGCGTCGACGGCGAACGTGCGCAGGTGGTCGCGCACCCCCGCCAGCTCGTGCTTGAGCCGCGCGGGCCCGGCCGTAGCGCCCCCGCGCCCCCCGCACCCCCCGCACCTACCTGCTTGAAGATGGTGACGGTGAGCGAAGCGTCGACGGCGAACGTGCGCAGGTGGTCGCGCACCCCCGCCAGCTCGTGCTTGAGCCGCGCGGGCCCGGCCGTAGCGCCCCCGCGCCCCCCGCACCTACCTGCTTGAAGATGGTGACGGTGAGCGAAGCGTCGACGGCGAACGTGCGCAGGTGGTCGCGCTCCCCCGCCAGCTCGTGCTTGAGCCGCGCGGGCCCGGCCGTAGCGCCCCCGCGCCCCCCGCACCCCCCGCACCTACCTGCTTGAAGATGGTGACGGTGAGCGAAGCGTCGACGGCGAACATGCGCAGGTGGTCGCGCACCCCCGCCAGCTCGTGCTTGAGCCGCGCGGGCCCGGCCGTAGCGCCCCCGCGCCCCCCGCACCCCCCGCACCTACCTGCTTGAAGATGGTGACGGTGAGCGAAGCGTCGACGGCGAACGTGCGCAGGTGGTCGCGCACCCCCGCCAGCTCGTGCTTGAGCCGCGCGGGCCAGGCCGTAGCGCCCCCGCGCCCCCCGCACCCCCCGCACCTACCTGCTTGAAGATGGTGACGGTGAGCGAAGCGTCGACGGCGAACGTGCGCAGGTGGTCGCGCACCCCCGCCAGCTCGTGCTTGAGCCGCGCGGGCCCGGCCGTAGCGCCCCCGCGCCCCCCGCACCCCCCGCACCTACCTGCTTGAAGATGGTGACGGTGAGCGAAGCGTCGACGGCGAACGTGCGCAGGTGGTCGCGCACCCCCGCCAGCTCGTGCTTGAGCCGCGCGGGCCCAGCCGTAGCGCCCCCGCGCCCCCCGCACCTACCTGCTTGAAGATGGTGACGGTGAGCGAGGCGTCGACGGCGAACGTGCGCAGGTGATCGCGCACCCCCGCCAGCTCGTGCTTGAGCCGCGCGGGCCCGGCCGTAGCGCCCCCGCGCCCCCCGCACCCCCCGCACCTACCTGCTTGAAGATGGTGACGGTGAGCGAAGCGTCGACGGCGAACGTGCGCAGGTGGTCGCGCACCCCCGCCAGCTCGTGCTTGAGCCGCGCGGGCCCGGCCGTAGCGCCCCCGCGCCCCCCGCACCCCCCGCACCCCCCGCACCTACCTGCTTGAAGATGGTGACGGTGAGCGAAGCGTCGACGGCGAACGTGCGCAGGTGGTCGCGCACCCCCGCCAGCTCGTGCTTGAGCCGCGCGGGCCCGGCCGTAGCGCCCCCGCGCCCCCCGCACCCCCCGCACCTACCTGCTTGAAGATGGTGACGGTGAGCGAAGCGTCGACGGCGAACGTGCGCAGGTGGTCGCGCACCCCCGCCAGCTCGTGCTTGAGCCGCGCGGGCCCGGCCGTAGCGCCCCCGCGCCCCCCGCACCTACCTGCTTGAAGATGGTGACGGTGAGCGAAGCGTCGACGGCGAACGTGCGCAGGTGGTCGCGCTCCCCCGCCAGCTCGTGCTTGAGCCGCGCGGGCCCGGCCGTAGCGCCCCCGCGCCCCCCGCACCCCCCGCACCTACCTGCTTGAAGATGGTGACGGTGAGCGAAGCGTCGACGGCGAACGTGCGCAGGTGGTCGCGCACCCCCGCCAGCTCGTGCTTGAGCCGCGCGGGCCCGGCCGTAGCGCCCCCGCGCCCCCCGCACCCCCCGCACCTACCTGCTTGAAGATGGTGACGGTGAGCGAAGCGTCGACGGCGAACGTGCGCAGGTGGTCGCGCACCCCCGCCAGCTCGTGCTTGAGCCGCGCGGGCCCGGCCGTAGCGCCCCCGCGCCCCCCGCACCCCCCGCACCTACCTGCTTGAAGATGGTGACGGTGAGCGAAGCGTCGACGGCGAACGTGCGCAGGTGGTCGCGCACCCCCGCCAGCTCGTGCTTGAGCCGCGCGGGCCCGGCCGTAGCGCCCCCGCGCCCCCCGCACCCCCCGCACCTACCTGCTTGAAGATGGTGACGGTGAGCGAAGCGTCGACGGCGAACGTGCGCAGGTGGTCGCGCACCCCCGCCAGCTCGTGCTTGAGCCGCGCGGGCCCGGCCGTAGCGCCCCCGCGCCCCCCGCACCCCCCGCACCCCCCGCACCTACCTGCTTGAAGATGGTGACGGTGAGCGAAGCGTCGACGGCGAACGTGCGCAGGTGGTCGCGCACCCCCGCCAGCTCGTGCTTGAGCCGCGCGGGCCCGGCCGTAGCGCCCCCGCGCCCCCCGCACCCCCCGCACCTACCTGCTTGAAGATGGTGACGGTGAGCGAAGCGTCGACGGCGAACGTGCGCAGGTGGTCGCGCACCCCCGCCAGCTCGTGCTTGAGCCGCGCGGGCCCGGCCGTAGCGCCCCCGCGCCCCCCGCACCCCCCGCACCTACCTGCTTGAAGATGGTGACGGTGAGCGAAGCGTCGACGGCGAACGTGCGCAGGTGGTCGCGCACCCCCGCCAGCTCGTGCTTGAGCCGCGCGGGCCCGGCCGTAGCGCCCCCGCGCCCCCCGCACCCCCCGCACCTACCTGCTTGAAGATGGTGACGGTGAGCGAGGCGTCGACGGCGAACGTGCGCAGGTGATCGCGCACCCCCGCCAGCTCGTGCTTGAGCCGCGCGGGCCCGGCCGTAGCGCCCCCCGCTCCGCCCGTCGGCGGCCGCGCCGGGCCCGAGTGCACGTTGATCTCCTCGTACTCCAGGATCGCGGGCAAGATCAGCCGCTCCAACTGACGCTCCAGCAGCTGGATCAAACCTACGCAATACCTCGCGCTGTATTACAACCGCACAAATCTTAAATTTTGTACAATAACCTTTATGCTTACTGCCAGAGGTCAAAAACATTTTATAATAAAAAGCGGATTTGTAATTATAGTTATATAATAATATATTTATTTAGCTACCGATTTTATAGACCAACTACTGTTGAATTTAACTTGGTCGGACTAATATTAAAACTGTCTAGTCTCGTTATTAAAACGTGTACCCCCCATTTACGATTTAAAAGTAAAAAAATCACATCTTTTAAAAATTGTTAGAAGTGTCACGTATTCCACTGATGATGAATGAATCAATATTATTATTAATTTAATTATTATATAATTGTTCGCTCCAAACGCTGTTTTGTTGTATCGACGTCAGAGGGCGCGCGGCTCGGTGCCATACCGGTTTTGACGGTGGTCGAGCGGTGGGGTTGAGAACGCGTAAAGGTGCAGTGGAGTCGTCTGTCAGCGGTGCTAACGTCAACACACTGTCAATTTTGTTAGGGAACTCGGTATAATTAGGCGCGGATAGTAAATATTCTGTCTAGGATTTGTGACGCGCATTCCTTGCTGGAGAGCTTCCCAGGGACTCATTGTGTCCGACTCAGAATCTGTATACGTGCATTCGACAATATTAGCTAGTGCGGCCTTTGATATTCTAGAAATAACTGTTGCTACGCGAAACGGTAGTGACCTTTGATCCGGACACTCCCTGTTCATTGTGTGTGTTAGGCTTTATAACAAACGAGAGTTAGTGGCTTCTGTAAGTTAGTTAAGAGTACGATAGAGTTGATGGACTGTCATCGTGACGAACGAAGAAGTGGTCCGGCGCCGAAGCAGTCTGAAGCGGTGCAGCATTTTGGAGCAGCCTGGAACTCGGCCGCTGCTGGTCGCCTATGCTTGCCAAGGCCCCACACCTTCACACCTCACTGTACATTACTCGCCATCCACTATTACACACACTCACGGCCTGCCCAAGCCTTGGTGTGAAGTTGGCTTCGGATAATGGTAAGTACTACGTGTTTCTAGCTTTCTCCCTTATTGTTTATTGTAATTAGGAAATTCCACGTGGCCATATTCTGGCCCCGTCCCTCTGCTGCTCGTCGATGGGATTACTCATGGGCCCTAATCCCGTCATCCTTGGTTGGGGCAGCTAGGGGCGTGTACAATAATCTTTCCATTTTTGACTCTTCTTTTTTGACGTAACTTATACATTTTTCACAACATACTACATTTTACATACATACATATAATCACGCCTCTTTCCCGTAGGGGTAGGCAGAGACCACTTCTTTCCACTTGCTACGATCCTTACATACTTGTTTCGCTTCATCCACTTTCATTATACCCTTCATACATGCTCTTCGGTTTAGGGTACTCTTGACCTGGCCTTTTTTCAAGACGTCCCTGATTTGGTTTAGAAACGTCCGCCTAGGCCCTTCCAACACTTTCATAAGACTCAAATTATATGCAACAAATTTTAAAGCGAGTTAAACGCGGGTGCTGATACGCATGGCGTGCGCGTAGCGGGTGCGTGTCGTCGGAACGCGCCCTCAGTCTTTCATCCACAATTACAAAATTAGTCATACTTCTAGACTCACCCTCATCTCTTGTATAAAAAAGGATCTTTTTGTGGTCAAACATTGTGTTGGCCACGCACAGATTCCATTCCAAGCATACTTCAAGCAGGCTTCTCCAATTGTCATTCACTCTCTAGTCCTCAAACGTACCCAGAACTCATTGATACCCATCACGCCTTACTCCAGCCCACCCATTAAAGTCCCCTAACGTCACGATCCGTTCATTTTCTCCGAATTTATTCAAGACATCTCTGGTGCTATCCCAAAATTCCTCTCTCTCTTGTTGGGCTTTTAATGACCCACCTCCGCGCAGATCCGTCGGTGCATAGACCCCAAGGATAGACAAGCGAGTGAGTCTGACTTTTAATCTAATCCAGAGGAGTCTTGGGCTTACACATTCATGCTCCATCACACATTCCACTATTCGAGATGAATGAATCACACTAACTGCCTGACATCCTCAGCTGGTTTGGGGGACTCCCGACCAGTGTAGGCGGTGTACATGCGTACGGTGCGGGTAGCGTGGTATCACTTCCTTTCCTCTTGGTTTCGTTCACGCACAGAATGTCTATGCATCGTTCATCCATCATCTGACATACTTCAACTACCTTACCATCCATTCCTCCTCTTGTATTCCTCCTCACGTAGCGAAGCGGCTCTCCGTGGGCCGCTTTTCGCCCCCGCGAGAAACGAGACGTGATGGGTGGCGAAACACATCGCCGCCATTTTGGTTAATTAAAAATTACTTCATTTTAATATTTATTTAACCGAATCAGAGATCTAAGTAACAACGAGCGTATAGCGAATGTGGTTATAATTTTACTTATAAAATTAAAAATAAGATCACCAAATTATATTCACAAAACCAAGCCAGACTTTACAGACGTTAAGAAGGTATCCAGGCGGCGTTTAGTCCATACAAACGTACTATGTCTACCCTAAATAATGACATTAGAGGAAATAATTTTTACTATACAACCTGGGACCAACAAAGAGACGGAGCGCTGCGTACATTTCAAACTGTTCGGGGTTGTACCGACACTAAGGGGATGATAAACTGATAACGCTTGATAATTCTGATAAAATGTATTTTGAAAATAAATGCCCGTAAATGCCCATTTTTGCTCCATTATATTGAATCATTTTTTTGACGGCTCCGTGACGCAGTGGCTTAGCAATCAGTTGGTGCGCTGGGGGGCCGCGGGTTCGAATCCCGCACGGAACAAGTATTTGTAAGGCCTACAAATAATTGTTCCGGGTCTGGATGTTTGTCCTTGTGCAATTTATGTTTGTAAACTGCCTCCACGACACAGGAGAAAATCCTAGTGTGGGGGGTAACGTTATATTTAAGAAATAAAAATTTTTACGAATTTAAATTTTTTTTAAATTATTCTACATTTCTGGATCATAATTTATGATAATCTATAAGAGATGTGGTATTCAGCTGTGGACTTATGGTGGGCTTTGACGATAAATAACTATGAAGTACCCTGATAGATCCATATGGCGGTGTCGCTGAGCACCTGGCGGTACTCGGAGAGGTCGAAGATGCGCAGGCACTGCTGGTTCTGCCGCGGCGTGTTGGCCGCCTGGTACACCGCGTCGCCGCTGTACTGCCGCAAGTTATTCAGCAGCCTGCGCAAAGCAAAGCAAATGCAAAACTAAAGTATTTATATGCAAGTAGTTACTATAAATTTTATTGCATTTGTTAACTTATTTTATATTCCCGTTTCAAGTACTTTACAGTACCCAAGATCACGAAGGGACTGAGGCGTTCAACGTACTAATGACATAGTTAACCACGGCTACCTTTAGTTTAAAATTATTAATTTTTGTACCGATCTACGCAAAATGAGCTTATAGTATTGTATGCTTTGGTTGGAATTAAATTAAATTAATTATGTGCTACATATACATAAAATAAAATAAGGCCTCCTTTACGTTCATACTGCCAATGTTATTTTTTTTAAAGAAGAGGGGGCAAACGAGCATGCGACTCGCCTGATGGTAAGTGACTACCGCCGCCCATGAACAACCGCAATACCCGGGGAACCAGGGGAATTGCAGATGCGTTGCCGACCTTTTAAAAAGGAGTAGGCTCTTTTCTTGAAGGTCGCTAAGTCAACACAGACTTACTATACATGTCAAACATATATAGTAAGTCTGTGGTCAAACAGTCACACAGAGTAGAAATTGATGTTAAAGAATTTTGAAAAATTACTAATTAAGTGAATGAGCTGTAAATTTTGTGTAATTTTACATGTTCGTTTTCTCACACTCTGTAAAGTATATGTCAAGCAAAAAAATAAAGATTTTATATAATAGATATGTGTTTTATATATTTATGTGCAGTTTTAGGTACTTACAGCTTGTTTTTTATAAAAAACTTAAAGATATAATGAATTAGGTTGGAATTTTGACTAATAGGCTACCACTAGTCATTACAATTACGCCACAAGTCTAATCCGAACTTATAAATTTGGCTCTCTCTTTTCTCATTTTAATATAGACTTGTCGTATTTATAGCGCTTAGCTGACGGACAGGCGATTTTATTATCGCATGCTGTTTTAATGGACTAAATTATTTGCTGAAGTATGAGAGTCAGACACATTGGTCAAAGGAAGACAGTTATATTTTATCCAAATTGAAAACCGAAATAATACACAAGTTTTGGTGTGATAAGTACATTACCGCTGAAAAAAGCTACAAACGTGGTACCTAAGTCCCTGCGATTCACAGCCCTCTCAAGGAAAGTCAAGGCCCAAAAAGCAACAAATTTGGTATCAGAGATCCTGCAAGGAAGTCTGACTCATAACCTTGACACCTGATACCTGCAGGGTTTAATCAGAAATAATAGCCTAGCAGACGACGTGCGATAGAAAACGTCAGATATATTAATTGAAAATTGATTTATACACTCTATTCTACAAGAAAGCTCCACCCACCTAAGCATGTTAGATAGCCAGAGCGCATTATACTCGACGCTGTCAGCGCGTCTCTTCACTGTCTTCTTAACGCTGATGCGGACAGCTCTTATAAGCTGATGCATCTTGGGTTCGTCGTCCACGTGGTCCATATGCCGCAGCATCATGAACAGGATGTAGGCCGGCAGGCCAGGTAACAGAGTTACTGCTACCCGCGGTTTCAGATCTTGAACAAAGGAGAAACTTTTAGCAAATTTTACAAATCGGCATGGTACGGCATGCACTATTGGCTGTGCTGGTGGTAAGGTCGTCCAAAAATCGTTTAAATAGCAGCATTATGTCATATGATAAAATAATTTGAATGTAAACAGTTATTCCTACTGCCAGTGCTCCTTTTATAGCACCTATTTAATATTTTACCACGTTTTTATTAAGTTACTTTCTTGTTTGTCTGTTCTGAGTGGAATTCAGTAGTTGATTTCAAAATAAATTCCCGATGAGCTCGAAACTTGATATTTTGAATATAGCTCAAATACGAATGACAATGCAAGAATATGACAAAAAAACAATAATAAAATAAAAAAAAAATAAAAAAAATCACTTATTTAAAGTTACTTTTAAAGGTAGGTCCTTTTTGCGTAACAAAGTCCAAATTATGTCTTTTTTAAATATGCGCAAAAACTTACCAGTAATAAGCTTTTTAAGAATGATCGGCTCGTCCTGTATTTTGTACTCGAACATGCCCAGGTATTCTCTCTCCTTTTTGCGTGTCACAGGCGCCATTTGTATAGTCGACAGGGAGTGTTGCGCCGTCACTGTGTCTGTGGAAGAGATGACCAAGTCAACATCTCAATCTTCAGAATTAATTTTATAGTCTTGTGAACCCATTGTTTACATTTTCGTAACAATCAGTGGTTCAACTGTTTAAAGGTATATGGATCTTATAACATGAACAAAATACACAATACAGTTAACTAATTTAAAATCCATGCAACGTTTATGTTCTTTATTTAAATATTACAAATGCAGTGTTTTATTTTATATACAGAATGACAAAAACTTAATTCCCCAATACACTAACGTACTAAGAACTGTAAGATATATTTTACTAAAATTAAATTACTTAATGTAGAACAATCGACTAGAATACGACAGTAAAATGATCTTTTAAAAAAGTGACTCAATTAGCCGTAGTTTTATAAGCATATTCAGATCTTAAAAAGCAAACGATTGTTGTTTGTTGTCGATGTAAAAAAGATAATTAAGTAAAATAGATAAATTCTTTAAATAAGCTTCTTTAATGTGAATTCTAAGAGGAAAATTGAAAAGAAACATACCGTTGCCCTCTAGAATGTCGTTGACGTCATCAATGCCAACCTCCTTTAGCCTGTCAACGAGCAACCTGATTTGATTTTTGTACCGACGACAGCTCTCCGAAAGTTTGTCAACGCGTTCCTGTATAATTTAAAATAAAGTTAATAACAGCATATTTTTATATAATATTTTATTCTCACGGCAAGATAAAGGCCTCTTAGCAGTTCTAAAGTCGAAATAAAATGAAAAGTCAATTTAAGTATAATAGTAGTAACAGTTTGTATTATTTTATACCTGTATAGCGAGGCTCTCTGCGGCCAATCGAATAATCTCATTTTGCGCGAACTCTTGACTTTTATTCTTTGGTTCCTGACTTAAATCTGCACTCAGTAATCTGAAATAAACAAAAGTAATAACGTATCATTTGGCATTCATCTCGAGCAAGGCAAAATTCGATAACCAAAGCAGAAATATCAGTAAATGCAGACAATAGTAGTAGACGCCAGTTTTATTTAACCATAAAACAGATATACAACTTTATTTTCTGATTTAACATTAACTACATTTTTTTATACCAAAATACAAGGTCAAAAGTAATAGTTTACTCGAAAATAAAACCTCAGTTACAATCGTATCATTCTTCTATTTTACTTCGGCAAAAGATAGCTGCACTATTTTGTGGCACTGGTGTGCTGTAGGGAGCATTTTTAATTGATCTGAAAGGAGCCTTAGTTACACTTGGCTCTGACAGGAGCCTTAGTTACAATGTTTTGTGGCTCTAAAACGAGCCTTACAAGAGCCTTAGGTACACTGTTTTGTGGATATGAGAAAAGCCGTAGTTACACTGTTTTGTGGCTATGAGAAAAACCGCAGTTACATTGTTTTGTGGCTATGAGAAAAACCGCAGTTACATTGTTTTGTGGCTATGAGAAAAGCCGTAGTTACATTGTTTTGTGGCTATGAGAAAAGCCGTAGTTACACTGTTTTGTGGTTCTGACAAAAGCCATAGTAACACTGTTTTGTGGCTTTGACAAGAGCCGAAGTTATACTGTTTTAAGGCTCTGAGTAGGATCTTTATTAGTAACACTATTTTGTGGCTCTGACAAGAGCCTTACTGACACTGTTTTGAGGCTATGGTAAGAGCCACAGTTACACTGCATTGTGGCTCTGACAAGAGCCGTAGTTTCACTGTTTTGTGGCTCTGACAAGAGCCGTAGTTACACTGTTTTGTGGATTTGACAAGACTCTTAGTTCCAGTGTTTTAGGGCTCTGAAAAGACACTAAGTTATACTGTTTTGTGGCTCTGAAAAGGGCCGCAGTTACGTCGTTTTGTGGTTCTGACAAGAGCCGCAGTTACACTGTTTTGTGGATTTGACAAGACCCTTAGTTTCAGTGTTTTGGGGCTCTGAAAAGTCACTAAGTTATACTGTTTTGTGGCTCTGAAAAGGGCCGCAGTTACGTCGTTTTGTGCTTCTGACAAGAGCCGCAGTTACACTGTTTTGTGGCTCTGAAAGGAACCGTAGTTTTACTGTTTTGTGGCTATGACAATAGCCGCAGTTATACTGTTTGTACAATGTGAGTATGATCTTAATTAGTTACACTGTTTTGTGGCTTTGACAAGTGCCGCAGTTACACTGTTTTGTGGCTCTGACAAGAGCCGTAGTTACACTGTTTTATCGCTCTGAGAAGAACCTAAGTTACACTGTTTTGTGGCTCTGAGAAGAACCTAAGTTACACTGTATTGTGGCTCTGACAAGAGCCGTAGTTACACTGTTTCGTGGCTCTGAGAAGAGCCGTAGTTACACTGTTTCGTGGCTCTGAGAAGAACCTAAGTTACACTGTTTTGTGGCTCTGACAAGAGCCGTAGTTACACTGTTTTGTGGCACTGAGAAAAGCCGTAGTTACACTGTTTTGTGACTCTAACAAGAACTGTAGTTACACTGTTTTGTGGCTCTGACAAGAGCCGTAGTTACACTGTTTTGTGGCTCTGAGAAGAGCCGTAGTTACACTGTTTTATCGCTCTGAGAAGAACCTAAGTTACACTGTTTTGTGGCTCTGAGAAGAACCTAAGTTACACTGTTTTGTGGCTCTGACAAGAGCCGTAGTTACACTGTTTCGTGGCTCTGACAAGAGCTGTAGTTACACTGTTTTGTGGCTCTGACAAAAGCCGTATTTATACTGTTTTGTGACTCTGACAAAAGCCGTAGTTACAGTTTTGTGGCTCTGAGAAAAGCCGTAGTTACACTGTTTTGTGACTCTGACAAGAACTGTAGTTACACTGTTTTGTGGCTCTGACAAGAGGCGTAGTTACACTGTTTTATGGCTCTGAGAAGAACCTAAGTAACACTGTTTTGTGGCTCTGACAAGAGCCGTAGTTACACTGTTTTGTGGCGCCGAGAAAAACCTAAGTTAACACTGTTTTGTGGCTCTAACAAGAGCCGTAGTTACACTGTTTTATGGCTCTGAGAAGAACCTAAGTTACACTGTTTTGTGGCTCTGACAAGTCGTAGTTACACTGTTTTGTGGCTCTGAGAAGAACCTAAGTTACACTGTTTTGTGGCTCTGAGAAGAACCTAAGTTACATTGTTTTGAGGCTCTGATAAGAGCCGTAGTTACACTGCATTGTGGCTCTGACAAGAGCCTTAGTAACACTGTTTTAGGGCTCTGACAAGAGCTGTAGTTACACTGTTTTGTGGTTCTGACAAGAGCCGTAGTTACACTGTTTTGTGGATTTGACAAGACCCTTAGTTCCAGTGTTTTGGGGCTCTGAAAAGACACCAAGTTATACTGTTTTGTGGCTCTGAAAAGGGCCGCATTTACGTCGTTCTGTAGTTCTGACAAGAGCCGCAGTTACACTGTTTTGTGGCTCTGACAGGAGCCGTAGTTGTACTGTTTTGGGGCTATGACAAAAGCCGCAGTTATACTGTTTGTATAATGTGAGTATGATCTTAATTAGTTACACTGTTTTGTAGCTCTGAGAAGAGCCGTATTTAGACTGTTTTGTAGCTCTGACAAGAGTCGTAGTTACACTGTTTTGTGGCTCTGATAAGAACCGTATTTACACTGTTGTGTGACTCTTACAAGAGCCGTAGTGACACTGTTTTATAGCTCTCAGAAGAACCTAAGTTACACTGTTTTGTGACTCTGACAAGAGTCGTAGTTACAGTTTTGTGGCTCTGACACGAGCCGTAGTTACAGTTTTGTGGCTCTGACAAGAGCCAAAGTTATACTGTTTTATGGCTCTGAGCATAACCTAAGTTACACTGTTTTGTGGCTCTGACAAGAACCGTAGTTACACTGTTTTGTGGCCCTGACAAGTGCCGTAGCTACACTGTTTTGAGACTCTGGTAAGAGCCACAGTTACACTGCATTGTGGCTCTGACAAGAGCCGTAGATACACTGTTTTATGGCTCTGAGAAGAACCTAAGTAACACTGTTTTGTGGCTCTGACAAGAGCCGTAGTTAAAGCTTTGTGGCTCTGAGAAGAGCCGTAGTTACACTGTTTTGTGGCTCTGACAAGAGCCGTAGTTACACTGTTTTGCGGCCCTGACAAGTGCCGTAGCTACACTGTTTTGAGACTCTGGTAAGAGCCACAGTTACACTGCATTGTGGCTCTGTCAAGAGCCGTAGTTACACTGTTTTATGGCTCTGAGAAGAACCTAAGTAACACTGTTTTGTGGCTCTGACAAGAGCCGTAGTTAAAGCTTTGTGGCTCTGAGAAGAGCCGTAGTTACACTGTTTTGTGGCTCTGACAAGAGCCGTAGTTACACTGTTTTGTGGCTCTAAGAAGAACCTAAGTAACACTGTTTTGTGGCTCTGACAAGAGCCGTAGTTAAAGCTTTGTGGCTCTGAGAAGAGCCGTAGTTACACTGTTTTGTGGCTCTGACAAGAGCCGTAGTTACACTGTTTTGTGGCTCTGACAAGAGCCGTAGTTACACTGTTTTATGGCTCTGAGAAGAACCTAAGTAACACTGTTTTGTGGCTCTGACAAGAGCCGTAGTTACACTGTTTTGTGACTCTGACAAGAACTGTAGTTACACTGTTTTGTGGCTCTGACAAGAGGCGTAGTTACACTGTTTTATGGCTCTGAGAAGAACCTAAGTAACACTGTTTTGTGGCTCTGAGAAAAGCCGTAGTTACACTGTTTTGTGACTCTGACAAGAACTGTAGTTACACTGTTTTGTGGCTCTGACAAGAGGCGTAGTTACACTGTTTTATGGCTCTGAGAAGAACCTAAGTAACACTGTTTTGTGGCTCTGACAAGAGCCGTAGTTACACTGTTTTGTGGCGCCGAGAAAAACCTAAGTTAACACTGTTTTGTGGCTCTAACAAGAGCCGTAGTTACACTGTTTTATGGCTCTGAGAAGAACCTAAGTTACACTGTTTTGTGGCTCTGACAAGTCGTAGTTACACTGTTTTGTGGCTCTGAGAAGAACCTAAGTTACACTGTTTTGTGGCTCTTAGAAGAACCTAAGTTACATTGTTTTGAGGCTCTGATAAGAGCCGTAGTTACACTGCATTGTGGCTCTGACAAGAGCCTTAGTAACACTGTTTTAGGGCTCTGACAAGAGCTGTAGTTACACTGTTTTGTGGTTCTGACAAGAGCCGTAGTTACACTGTTTTGTGGATTTGACAAGACCCTTAGTTCCAGTGTTTTGGGGCTCTGAAAAGACACCAAGTTATACTGTTTTGTGGCTCTGAAAAGGGCCGCATTTACGTCGTTCTGTAGTTCTGACAAGAGCCGCAGTTACACTGTTTTGTGGCTCTGACAGGAGCCGTAGTTGTACTGTTTTGGGGCTATGACAAAAGCCGCAGTTATACTGTTTGTATAATGTGAGTATGATCTTAATTAGTTACACTGTTTTGTAGCTCTGAGAAGAGCCGTATTTAGACTGTTTTGTAGCTCTGACAAGAGTCGTAGTTACACTGTTTTGTGGCTCTGATAAGAACCGTATTTACACTGTTGTGTGACTCTTACAAGAGCCGTAGTGACACTGTTTTGTGGCTCTGACAAGAACCTAAGTTACACTGTTTTGTGACTCTGACAAGAGTCGTAGTTACAGTTTTGTGGCTCTGACACGAGCCGTAGTTACAGTTTTGTGGCTCTGACAAGAGCCAAAGTTATACTGTTTTATGGCTCTGAGCATAACCTAAGTTACACTGTTTTGTGGCTCTGACAAGAACCGTAGTTACACTGTTTTGTGGCCCTGACAAGTGCCGTAGCTACACTGTTTTGAGACTCTGGTAAGAGCCACAGTTACACTGCATTGTGGCTCTGACAAGAGCCGTAGATACACTGTTTTATGGCTCTGAGAAGAACCTAAGTAACACTGTTTTGTGGCTCTGACAAGAGCCGTAGTTAAAGCTTTGTGGCTCTGAGAAGAGCCGTAGTTACACTGTTTTGTGGCTCTGACAAGAGCCGTAGTTACACTGTTTTGCGGCCCTGACAAGTGCCGTAGCTACACTGTTTTGAGACTCTGGTAAGAGCCACAGTTACACTGCATTGTGGCTCTGTCAAGAGCCGTAGTTACACTGTTTTATGGCTCTGAGAAGAACCTAAGTAACACTGTTTTGTGGCTCTGACAAGAGCCGTAGTTAAAGCTTTGTGGCTCTGACAAGAGTCGTAGTTACACTGTTTTGTGGCTCTGATAAGAACCGTATTTACACTGTTGTGTGACTCTTACAAGAGCCGTAGTGACACTGTTTTGTGGCTCTGACAAGAACCTAAGTTACACTGTTTTGTGACTCTGACAAGAGTCGTAGTTACAGTTTTGTGGCTCTGACACGAGCCGTAGTTACAGTTTTGTGGCTCTGACAAGAGCCAAAGTTATACTGTTTTATGGCTCTGAGCATAACCTAAGTTACACTGTTTTGTGGCTCTGACAAGAACCGTAGTTACACTGTTTTGTGGCCCTGACAAGTGCCGTAGCTACACTGTTTTGAGACTCTGGTAAGAGCCACAGTTACACTGCATTGTGGCTCTGACAAGAGCCGTAGATACACTGTTTTATGGCTCTGAGAAGAACCTAAGTAACACTGTTTTGTGGCTCTGACAAGAGCCGTAGTTAAAGCTTTGTGGCTCTGAGAAGAGCCGTAGTTACACTGTTTTGTGGCTCTGACAAGAGCCGTAGTTACACTGTTTTGCGGCCCTGACAAGTGCCGTAGCTACACTGTTTTGAGACTCTGGTAAGAGCCACAGTTACACTGCATTGTGGCTCTGTCAAGAGCCGTAGTTACACTGTTTTATGGCTCTGAGAAGAACCTAAGTAACACTGTTTTGTGGCTCTGACAAGAGCCGTAGTTAAAGCTTTGTGGCTCTGAGAAGAGCCGTAGTTACACTGTTTTGTGCCTCTGACAAGAGCCGTAGTTACACTGTTTTGTGGCTCTAAGAAGAACCTAAGTAACACTGTTTTGTGGCTCTGACAAGAGCCGTAGTTAAAGCTTTGTGGCTCTGAGAAGAGCCGTAGTTACACTGTTTTGTGGCTCTGACAAGAGCCGTAGTTACACTGTTTTGTGGCTCTGACAAGAGCCGTAGTTACACTGTTTTATGGCTCTGACAAGAGCCGTAGTTACACTGTTTTATGGCTCTAAGAAGAACCTAAGTAACACTGTTTTGTGGCTCTGACAAGAGCCGTAGTTAAAGCTTTGTGGCTCTGAGAAGAGCCGTAGTTACACTGTTTTGTGGCTCTGACAAGAGCCGTAGTTACACTGTTTTGTGGCTCTGACAAGAGCCGTAGTTACACTGTTTTATGGCTCTGACAAGAGCCGTAGTTACACTGTTTTATGGCTCTAAGAAGAACCTAAGTAACACTGTTTTGTGGCTCTGACAAGAGCCGTAGTTAAAGCTTTGTGGCTCTGAGAAGAGCCGTAGTTACACTGTTTTGTGGCTCTGACAAGAGCCGTAGTTACACTGTTTTGTGGCTCTGACAAGAGCCGTAGTTACACTGTTTTGTGGCTCTGACAAGAGCCGTAGTTACACTGTTTTGTGGCTCTGAGAAGAGCCGTAGTTACACTGTTTTGTGGCTCTGACAAGAGCCGTAGTTACACTGTTTTGTGGCTCTGACAAGAGCCGTAGTTACACTGTTTTATGGCTCTGAGAAGAGTCGTAGTTACAGTTTTGTGGCTCTGTTAAGAGCCGTAGTTACACTGTTTTGTGGCTCTGAGAAGAGTCGTAGTTACAGTTTTGTGGCTCTGTTAAGAGCCGTAGTTACACTGTTTTATGGCTCTGAGAAGAGTCGTAGTTACAGTTTTGTGGCTCTGTTAAGAGCCGTAGTTACACTGTTTTGTGGCTCTGACAAGAGCCGTAGTTACACTGTTTTATGGCTCCGAGAAGAAGCTAAGTAACACTGTTTTGTGGCTCTGACAAGGGCCTTAGTTACAGTTTTGTGGCTCTGGGAAGAGCCGTAGTTACACTGTTTTGTGGCTCTGAGAAGAGCCGTATTTACATTGTTTTGTAGCTCTGAGAAGAGTCTTAGTTAAACTGTTTTGTGGCTCTGATAAGAACCGTAGTTACACTGTTGTGTGACTTTTACAAGAGCCGTAGATACATTGCTTAGTGGCTCTGACAAGAACCCTAGTTATACTATATGGCTCTGATAAGAGCAGTGGTTACGCTGTAAACTATTCATTATTGTGATCATTGTCTCAATTATGTTATCAGATTACAGTCCAATTTAACGGGAGATGATATTTTATGTTTAACCCTGTTAAATGTGTCATGCATCAATATAATAAATAACAGTTAAGCATCTGCATTTTCGGTCATTACAAAATCTAACCTATATACTCAAGTGAGATCCACTTGCAATACTAAATATTGTAAGTATTGTATACCATTTACAATATTAATTCTCTTATTATGAAGCTAAATTATTTCTACTTAGAATAATTTTTAAAAACACGTAAATTGATCACTTTAGGTAAATATATAATGAGCATTTAAAACATAAATTCTATAAAAATGTTACAGCATATTTTATTAATCAAACAGTCAGTAAAGCCAACGTTAATGAGTAATTAAGAAAAACGAAATACTTAACAATTAAAACATATAACTAATTCGACAACATATTTATGATGGAGTACGTGAGGTGTATGATTAGTTTTTCACTAGTGAACAGTGTCTTTATGATATAAGTGGTTGACCTTTCCAGACTACCCCACTGTCTTCGTATTTGTGGGAACATTGTATGATTCTTACCTCCGTTGATGCTGGAAGAGATGAAATGTAAAGTGTGTTCTTAATGTGCAAGAATAAGCCATATGAGTGTTTTTTGTATTTTAATCCAAATAATATAAAAATTGTAATGAATATTGTTATTATCACTCCAATACTATTTCGTTACTTGCTTGAAAATGAAATAAATGATTCCTAAAATATGTGTTAGTTGCACCTCGATATAATTTGTTAAAAAGTAAATTTATTGGATTTGATATCTACATCACTACGTATGGTAGTCTTCCAAAACTTATTTCCCACTTATGCTCAAAGTTATGTTATTTCTTAAATATACTCACTTCTGATACTTTTCATTCTCTTCTCGCAATCTCTCGATCTCCGCTTTTGCCTGTGAAATGTGCTCGGAGTAGAATTTCTTTTCAGCCAGCAGTTCTTCTTGTAATTGTCTATTAAAAGTATTATCTCTATATTAGTAAGTGGAATATCTTGTCTCAAATTTCACAGTACGGTAGTGCTGTGGAGTTTGATTCTCAGTATCAGTGCTAACATATATAAATACCAATTGTACTGTATCATAATTTCGTAATCGCCGCCGCAGTGCAATGGTTCTCCTCTCTCCTTGCTGATATGTTAATATACTAACAATTTAAGCTCACTTTGAATTTAAACTTATGACATGAATGTCATGGACTCAAAATGTAACTTTAATATAAAATAAAGTAGGTATGTGAATATTTATAATAAAAATAACTCAATGATTCCCTATATAACGTAGGTACCTGTTGATATCCTTTTGAGCCTCGTAAGCAGTCGCTAACTCGCCATCTTCGTTGATAATGTCCACGTCCGAACCGTAATTGGAAGACGCAAGCGACTTTAAGTTTACCGTCTGCGGAAGTGAAGATCGAATTAAGATATGCTTCAAATAAAATAAATTGGCATGATAAATATAAATCATAAAAGTAAAAAATAAAAACAAAATAAATATACCGTGCAATGGCAGCAAAAGGAATGCGTTGAAAGGAAACAAAAAATGTTAGTAAAATGAAACTACACCAAAAGATGCACGCACAACCATTTTTAAAGGTTAAAAAATAAAGTCGGTATACTTTCTACTCAAATAGGATGTCACGACATCTACTATTTTAAACTAACATTCCCAAGTTTTCCATATTTCATTGAAAGTAATCCACAGTCCCATTTAGTCCCTTAAATGTTCTAATATTTGATTGAATTAAGTGTTTTTGCACCAGGATACCAAGATTCAAACTCCCCTGCCAAGTGTAGTAGCTATGACAATTACTACCCTCCCTTTTGATCTATGTCGTTCTGTAAGGTCTATACTTAACATAATAAGTACAGCGAATTACATCAAGTTACATGTATAATGTATATTTATAAATATTGACTATTTCAATGCTGTTACAACTAACGAAACGTTAAATCACTCAAATATTTCAATTATTTTTGATAGCACACCACAATTTATTTAATTACAAAATGTCAGTTGAGGATTTTTTCCCACAAACCTCACAATTATCCACAAACCTTACAAGATAAAAGGACATTTCCCTTACATTTCTAATTAACGGTTCCAATTAAACGCCTCTCTCCTTTTCTAATACATTCACACTAACATTCCCCTACTCCAACTACTAGGTAGGATTCGTGAGTAAAATAAAACACAAGTAAGCCATTGAATGATTACATAGAAATACAGCATTCTACTCACGACGCTCTTCAACGCTTGGTACCATGATTTCTGCGCAATATATTTTATTATTTATAAATGATTTTCATTTTATAAGAGAAATTACTCTACTACATTTACACAAGTTAAAAAGCAACTGTGAGAATTCAGTGCAGTATTCAGTAAGATAAAACTAAAGGTGTAAACGGCCCTGTGGCCGTAGCGCTGGTATCGTCCTATTAAGTTGAAGTTGTATTAATTAATGTAATTGTTTCCATAGTTGATAACGGCATAGAAGTAAAATTGCGTAACCTCCGACAAGGGACGGATTAACAATTTTAAATTATGAGTTATGAATTAAACATATCGACGACGAATCGACTTGCTTAGGTTGGCGTTCACGGCATTTGACGACCTTGTGGCGCAGTGGCTTAGCAATGAGTTGCAGCGCTCAGGGCCACGGGTTCGAATCACGCACGGAAAAATATTTGTATGGCCTACAAACAATAGTTCCGGATCTAGAAATTTATGTATGTAAACTGCATCCACGATACAGGAGAAAATCCTTGAGGTAACGTTTTATGAAAAAGGAAGAAGAAGGCATTTTCTGTAAATTGCGAAAAGATCTATGTCCAGCTGTAGACATAAACACGAATAAATGACGCAAATGAAATAACAGAGGAAATCACCTTCTTGGAAACACTTCTATGAATAGGTAAATCCATGAATAAAATTTTTACAACGTCTTTAGAAGCCGAATTTTTCATGTCAACACAGCTCACATAGTATATATTTTGGTTTTTCTATTAATACACGGTCACTATATAAATACAAACTATTATTATTATACTCCTTGTGAGTTATCTATTACTTGTATCATGGACATATAAAATAAATCCGACTTAAGATATTATTGCATTCTTATTTTCACATATGGTAATATACAATAAAGCACATTTAATTATGTGTCCAACAGCGCATCCACACTATCGCGCGCACAAAAATCGAACTGAAACAGTATTTACTTTAAACACGAAATATTTACGAATACAAATTTAATCTACATAGATAAGAAGATATTTGTCATAGATAAATCTTAGGATAAACAACATGATTTGTTTTGAAGGTTTGGATGATTTTATAAACAGTTTCCTGACGAATTTTATGCAGAGGTGTACACTAAAGTATATAGATTTGATAAGGTGTTTTGTTTTTTTTTTTATGTTCGTTACATCTTTTATGAAAGGTATATATATATATATATATATATATACCTTACAAACAAAAAAAACTAAATCCAAAAATGGGTCATCTCTTTGGGAGCTACGATATACCACAGACAGATACACAGATAGACAGATACACAGACACACAGATACACACGTTAAACATATAACATCCCTCTTTTTCGTCGGGGGTTAAAAACAGTTGCAAGGCAATATTTTTTAATCTTAAAATTGAGACCTATGTAACGTATATCGAAAGAATATACATCTAAATTTTGTTTGTTTCGGAAACATTAGATAACACGGACAGACAGAACGAGACTATAACAATTTTTTTGTGTGATAGCGAATCCCTTAAATTTTAATATTAAAATCAATGTTTACTTATTATATTATCTAAACAAGTCTGTGAAGAACCCGCAGTATTATAAAAATACTAGTCCCCCATCTTGGGCTGTGTCCTCCATATTGGATTTAGAATGACGTCACTTAGCTAACCATGCATTTTCATCGACACTAAACATGAATGCAACATTTTAGCTCAATCGGTTGAGGATAACTGCTTTAAAATTCAGTTGCAAGATTTGGCCCTAACAAACATACAAACATTGCAAGTTAAATAAAAGCTTTTAATATACACTTATAAAGAAGAGCAGAACTACCGAATCTGTTTCTGACATTTCTAATTTTAAAACACTTTATTAAATAAGATGGTTCACGGATCAGGTCTATTTATTTTACCTCAAAAACTTAGAAATATATGGGGATATTGGAAAAATATATACACTTAGTATAAATATATTATACTTTAGTGGTTAGAATGATTTATTAATCAATTATTTTAATCAACTTTCAAAATAGTCTTAAAACTTAGTTACATTTTGAAATATCTTATTTATATCAAAAAAGGTATCATGTACTAAGTATAATGAAAATGATAGAAACTCAAAACTATTTATTTAACTAGTTATGGAAAAACACATTAAAGTTAATATAATTTAAATGCGTGCATGAATTTTTTATGCCTTGAGGATGCAAGTAAATTTCGGAATTATAAGAATAAAAAAAAAACATCTAAATCATGTAACAAGAGCTAGACCTGCACTGAGTTATCACATAGTAACATTTACAAAATTTTATTTTTAATTATTTTTAATTTATATTACGTAAGAAGAATACAACAAATAATACAATTTATTAATACATACCTGATTGGTGAGGACGCTCTTTAACTGAATGCACTCTTCACGCCTCCTGTCCAACTCTTTTTGCATCACGCCCAATTGCTCTAGGAAAATAAGTTGGCATGGTTAATTACGACATATTTTTAATAGAATAAGGGTGACGTTTGCCTCATGTTCCATAAAAAAGAAGTAATAGTTTACCGATGACCTCCTTGGAGACGAGCAGGCTGTCGCCGGCGGCCCGCAGGCGGTCGAGGTGCTCGCGCAGCTTCTTGTTCTCGATCTCCAGCTCCTCCACGCGGAAGCGGTCGGTGTTGGGGTTGCTGGGCGGCGACGACAGCCGATCTGTTCTCGTTGCAGGGAGTTTTCGCAATAAATTAATCAATATTTTTTATACTTGCTAGTTTAGTAGTAATTATTTTAAATATATGTTGTATATAATAAACGCTTCGTTTTTTCTCACGGGCTGTTATTAAATTAAGGCACGACATACGATTTAAAAAAAAAAACATTTCAGTTTTGTTGTCGAAAAATAGGTATATTAAATACATACTTATCACTTATATATACTTTCACATCTATATGTACATGAAAAATTGAGGTATATGTCTGTAATATCGAAATAACTGGGTTCTAGTTAACTCCAAGGGTATTTGTATGACATTAATAAATGACCGTTTATGGAATTTTTATCTGTCTGCATTTCCGAGTTAATCTTCCGATTGGCTGAACCGATTGTAATAAAAATTTATAACAGTTGGAGAGAATGCCTAAAGGGATCTAATGCTATATTTTATTCGAAAAAACATGCAAGACTTTGTGTGAAATCTTAAAGTTGATAAAATATATAATGGTTTTTTGATGATTTGACCCAATTTATTTTTGATTTCATTAATATATAACATTATAAGATTATATCTTTTAAATTATATTCTATATAAAAAAATGTTCAACCATGCTATTCCGGTCTGCAAAACGACTTCTATTCTGCCTTTTAAATATTTTAATACGTGTGTTTCATACATCAATTAAACATAACATGCTTCAGGCCGCGGATACGAATCCCGATATGAGATACCAGGATACATTATATTAAAGTTTACACTTGTCCTATTAATATTTTCATCTATAATACAGTAAAGAATCTATCATCTCATTTCTTCACGTGTGTATCGTAAGAACCGTCAGAAATAACTAGTGGCCTTCGACAGTTAGCGATAGATAACCACAGAAGGCCGATTTGCACTTCGACAAGTACAGTAGCAAGTTTCGTAACAGGGCAGCTAACAGTAAACGGTTAAGTGGGCAGTAGCGTTTAAATGTCTTCGTGGCGAGTTTAGTTGAAAAAGTAAAATTTTATATTTTGAAGGTTGAATGCGAACACGTTGCGTTCTGTCAACTAATGCACTGAACTAAACTCGCTCGAACACACGAGCGGCGAGTTTAGTTGCGGGAGACGGGGGACGAGCGGGAGGGCAACACTTCAAACTTTAACCGTCGAAAATTAGCCCGGCCGGCTATCCCGTTCAACTTAATTGTTAATTTGTTACATAACTCACTAATTGCCGTTCAAACGAGATTTTTACTTAACTCGCCACGTTCGCAAGTTAACTCGCTACTCTACTTGTCGAAGTGTAAATCGGGCTAGATAGTGATATAATCTTTCGTATCTGCGAAATGTAATACCCAGGCCGGCGACGGAAAACAAAGACAGCTGGTGGGATCAGCAACGCACCTGCCAACAGACCAGTTCCAGCAGTGAACACTTCTTCAACAGCTATTAAAAGTCCACTGCTGGACACGAGTCTCTCCTGGTAGAGAATTTGCTATAAACCACGCCTACCAGGCGGCAGATTGGCGATTGTAATATCAAACGTACGGGTAGCTACTCCCGATCGCTAGTTTGCGTATATTAATTCTGGCGAAATGACTTGACTATTCCGATATCAATCGGAAACCATGAGATTTTTATAGCAATTCCCATAATCGCCTCTTAGATCCACGGGACATAATCAGTCAATACAATGATCTCGTGCTAGTAAAAAACAAGACTATAATGCATGTCTCACTCATGAGGCGCTCCTCCAGGTCGTGAGCGCGCTTGGAGGTCCTGGACAGTTCGCTCTGCAGAGCTGAGATCCTGTTCTGCATGCGCAGCACTAGCCCGGCGTCCGCGATCTGGTGCAAGATTACATACTGCTGGATATTTTTTTTATCGAATAAGGGTGAACAAAAGCACACCGTCCACGTCATGGTATGATGATAATAGCCCACAGACATATATATGTCTATCTTTGATTAAAAATCGAAATGCATATGCGTTGTCGCTCCTGGGGACTAAGATGGAGTGCCTCGTTTTCAGTAAAAAAGGTCTCCGATTCTCTTACAAGGTCAATCAAGGTCAGGACTATATGATGAATGCATTAACACTTCCCAACCAAACTCTCTCCATTTTTGCTGAGCGGCCAAAGATGTGTGTGGTCTGGTGTTATCATGATGAAAGACCACTCCTTTTCTGCTGATCAATTCCGACCGTTTTTTCTCAATTTCTTGCTTGAGTCTAATTAGTTGTCGGCAGTAGAGACCCTAATCGGTTTTGCCCGGCGTTAAACCGGGTTTACCTTAATCGGTAACTCGGCGGTAAACCTTACGAAACACAGCAGCATTAAGCTGCTATTTCCCACTGGTATTCTGTGAAAACGTGGTCCTTCCCCAGTCGAGCCGACTCATACACCATAGAGCTAATCTCTTGAAAGAACCGCATAATGGCTTTAGCAACGCCTGTCATCACTACGGCCCCATCACAAGGCCACTGCTGAACATAGGCTTCCCCAAAGGAATGGTACAAAGCACGGTCTAGAGGCTAATCGACTTTTACCAGGTCGTTACACAATCTAGTAAAGCGACCCTCGCTTTGCACTTCGCTTACCAGTACGAGGCTGACGATCAAGAACATTTCTTCATCGTCGAATCTCGGTTATTCAAGATATATGGCTGACCACTTTTTAGCATATTAATTCGTTGCGTTATGTCAGTTTCTCTGATTCTACTGCAGAAATCCTCACTACGAAGTCTATCGCGCAGAGAAACTCCGAGCATAGCTCTTTCCATAGCTCGCTAAGTGACCATGAGCTTCCTCACACAGCCAGCAGTGAAGGAAGCAACGCCTACAAAAATTGTTTTAAATAGGTTTTATATTTACTTGTATGGTGCTGACCGAACAATGAACCAATCGAGCAGTAGGATTTGAGTCACAGCTCCCTCATTTTACCTCATATTCCAATCAGACCTTAATAGGCTTACTAGGCGTTTTAACACATGTGAAGGTAAGCGCTCATAAATCGTGCAGTAAGGTGGGTGAGTGCAGTGTGAAGTAAGGTGGGTGAGTGCAATGTGGGTGCGTGCAGTGTACAGTGAAGTGAGTGAGTGCAGTGTGCAGAGAGGCAAGTGAGTGCAGTGTGGTTAGTGAGTGCAGTACGGTGAATAAGTGCAGTGTGGTGAGTGAGTGCGGCGTGGCGAATGAGTGCGGTGTGGCGAGTGAGTGCGGTGTGGCAAGTGAGTGCGGTGTGGCGAGTGAGTGCAGTGTGGCGAGTGAGGACAGTGCGGTGAGTGAGTGCGGTGAATGCAGTTCGTACGGGCGTGGGTCCATTGTGCTGTCCGGCGGCCCAGTTGACGGCCTCCAGCGCCGGCCGCGACGTCTCCACCGAACGTACCGACCCGTACCCGTAGTCCTGCAACAACATAAAGCGACACATTACCAAACATACACACAAACAAAGTAATTTAATATACAGTGATCATCTATAATTCATTCATTTTTTAAATGTTTTATAGATAGAGCAACAAGGAGAAAAATTTACAAATTAGCAACAGGGCATTTATTTTTAAAAGCTTATAATTAACTTGTAATGTTTGTTTGTAAGGGTCAGATCTTGCAACTGAATTTTAAAGCAGTTGTCCTCAACCGCTGGAGCTGAAATTTTTATTATTGTAATGGAATATTAATCCATAATGTTTTACGGACTAAAGTCCATTGCTGAACATAGGGCTTCCCAAAGAGTGCCTCATAAGGGGCATTTTGGCATAGTTGCCACGTTTGGCAGACGGGTTGCCAATCGCAGTTTTGTAAAGTTTTGAATTATTATCAGGAAGATGCTATTGCCCATGTCCCTCCATCCCCTCTTATATACCTACGGGACGATATGGGGTAGTGGATATTTTTACACCGCCACCACACAGTTAGGGATTATTGGTGAACACATTATATTTGTATATACATATAACATAGTATTTTAGAGATTATTTTGAATGGATTCAATAAAGACAGTTGCGAAAAAATTTACACGAATCAAATTTAAATGAGAGGAAATTCATAATCTTGTCATACAAAAAGTAAACAACCACAATAGTAGCAACATTTAGACTAATACCAACAAATTGTCATTATAATAAAAAAAAGCTCACATCTTCAACTGTGGTCTCTTGCTGCGAAGCGTTGCTGGCGTCAGAAAATGACCTTCTGTGCTCTTTGGTCGGCGGTGCCCTGCAAGACAAAGGCTATTATGGTTCCGTTCTACTACAGTGCTATTTAAGCTGGCTTAAGAAGAAATGCGGGTGGTCTTTTCTCCATACAAATGCTCTTGCCTGTTTTGTTTCTGGTGTATAACCTTATAGCAATGAGTTTTTACAGTAAAATAAATATCAACCTCTTCTATGTCCCTATGATGTCCCTTGTATACGGGCGAACCTTTATTACATATCTAAGAGATCTAAGAGATATCAAAGACATACAAATAAGACTAATGAAGTTATTAGTTAGTAAAAATGTTAAAGACAATTGCAACAAAGACTATGATAAGTTGTTTCACATTTGTAAAATAATACCCATAGATAAAAAAGTAGATTAATTGGTGGGTGTGGAATATTATTATAATGAGAAATATAAAGTTAATGTTAAAAAAAGTACAACACACATAGAGTTAGAAAAAACATACTGGTTCTACCAAAAATAAAGAACTATTATGGTAAGAGAACATCTTAGTATTTGGTAGCTAAAGTGTTTAACAAAATAGAATAATTAAAAAATTAAAAAAAACATTATACAGGATTGCTAATAGAACTATATAAGAGTACATTGTATTAGATTAAAACATTACAATATAATATATAAGTACTAGATATTTAATTCATATAATGTATATAAAGATATATGGGTAAAATTACATTAAGATGTCATAGGTTTATATATTACTATATTATATAATTGTATATCATTTATTTATTTATTTATTTATTTCATATATTTGCATAAAACATGGACAGATAAGGATGGTACAATTCTTAAAGCACAACATGGTTTGCTATGTGATTGTGATAGCATGCAAATTTACATAAATTACACATATACAAATGAAATTTTCTAATCATAATACAAAACAATTAGACTAAAACATATAAAATCATAAACAAACAAAGATTATCAATTCATTAAAAAAAATATATATCATTTACATTTAACAAATAGGTCTCTGATGTCATAAAATTGATTTTCATTGAGATAAGTCAATAATTTTTTTTAAATAAATTATTATTATTCGATTTGATTTCATTTGGTATTTTATTATAAATTCGAATACACATGGTTAAACAGCTTTTACTATATTTGTTTGATCGCGGTACATCATCTAATACAAGTCTATTTGCATTTCTTTTTAGTCTTATATTCATATCATATGCCTTTGTAAACAGATTATTGTATTTATGTAGGAAATTACAAACTTCGTAGATATACAGAGATGGTAGTGGCAACAAACCCAGGCTCCTAAATATTGGTTTGCAGGATTTATCCGGTGCGATTCCAGCAATAGCTCTAATGCATTTCTTTTGTGCAGTAAATAATCTCTGTTTATCTGTACCATTGCCCCATATTACAACACCATAACGTAGTAAAGATTCTATGTAAGCGTGATACGTTATAACAGCAGTTTTTTTGTCTGTAACATTTTTTATTTTATTAAGTGCATAAACAAATTGGTTAATTCTACTGCATAGGTGATGTATGTGTGCTTTCCAGCTTAAATCTTGATCGATTATTACTCCTAGGAATTTAGTTTGTGTTACTTCGTTTAATTTGTCGATATTAAGATTAAAATTGTATTTTGTGTGTTTTGATTTATTAAATTGAATATAAGTTGATTTATTAAGATTAATTTTTAAATTGTTTCTGTCTAACCATTTAATAATTGTATCAATTGTGTTGTTAATGTCGATTTCATGAATACGTATTGAACTATTTTGCTTCTTATCAGTGCTTACAATTATTTAAATATCGTCCGCGAATAAAATACATTTATGACTGGTGATTAGAGTTATATCATTCAAATAAAGAAGAAACAATATTGGACCCAGCACGCTACCTTGAGGAATGCCATGTTTGTTCTCTTTATAAGAAGATGAGAAGGACAGCATTTCCTCTCCTACAATTTTTTTTATTACAACATATTGTCTACGGTTAGCTAAATAGGAAGATATCCATTTTAGTGGAAGTCCTCTGACACCGACCATTTCCAGTTTTCGCAATAGTATGCTGTGTGCAACGAGATCGAAAGCTTTTGATAAATCAAGAAACAATGCTGTCGTTAAAAAATTGTTATTTATTTTTGTTAAAATTGAACTAATGAGCTTAAATGTGGCTAATGTTGTAGATTTTTGTTTCTGAAAGCCATATTGTTCATTCTTTATTAAATTGAATTTCTTGCAAAAATCTAGTAATCTTTTGTACATACATTTTTCTAGTATTTTTGACAATATTGGTATTAATGTAATTGGACGATAATTGGTAATATCATTTCTCTTACCCTTTTTAAATAATGGCTTTACAATCGACAATTTTAATGTTTCTGGAAAAGTACCACATGAAAATGACAAGTTAATTAAATATGTCAAAATAGAGACTAATTCATTTACAGACTTCTTAATTATTTTCGTATTAATACCGTCATATCCTTCCGAGTTAGTGTTATTAAGAGATAGGATTTCTTTTTTAACCTCTTCTTCTGTCATGGGCTTAACAAACATTGAGTTAGATAGTGATTTTTCATTACTAGTATAGCTGTTTGGTTTATTCATTATTGTCAAATTATTACGGAAATCAGTAAAATAGTTATTGAAAATCGAAGCTATGTCAGTAGGATTTTTAATTACTTCATTATTTATTTTCAAATCCGTAACGCCATGGTCGAAGTTTGAATTTGAGATTGCATTTTTTATTACAGACCATGTAGCTTTACATTTATTTTTGCTTTTGTGTATGAATTTTATAGTAGAATTTCTTTTCGATCTTTGAATACATTTTTTCAAAATCTTTGAATATGTGATGTAACTTTTCTTATTTAATTCTGATTTATTCCTGTAGTATCTATATCGGAGTAATCTTTTAGTTTTACAACTTCTTTTTAAACCTCGACTTATCCAATTGTTTGTAGTATTATTATTATTTATCATTATTCTAATAAGTGGAAAACATAAATTATAAATTAAACATAGAAATTCATGAAATGTATTAAACGCGCTATTTATATCAGTCTGTAAGTATATCTCAGACCAAGATATATTCATAAGACATTCCCTAAATTTCCGTATGTTCTCAGCGCAATAGTCTTTTTTGTAAACAAAATATGCCGTAGTCTTTAAAATTTTTCTTTTTATGGGGATTTCCAGTAGTTGCGCTGTTTCATGGTCAGACAGGTATAGAGGTAGAATGGTAGCCGTTGCGTCTATGATGTTGCTTAAAATATGGTCTATACAAGAGTTTTTCCGGGTCGGTACCTTAATGTGAATGCTTAGATTGTAGTTGTGACATAGATCCTGAAAAAATTTAGTAATATTTCCCTGTTAGTGACTTTAATATTAATACTTCAAGTATTAATATTAAAGTCACCAGTTACAACTAGCTTAATGTTTGGCTTATGACTGCCAAGTAAGTCATATAAAAGTTTGTCCAGCTTATCTAAGAAAATAGTAGGGTTTGACGAGGGAGTTCTATAAATACATATTATAATCAATCTGTGTACAGGAATTTCAATTCCACAAGCTTCAAATGTATTTGGTGTTGCATAATATTGTAATTTATTAATTTTTTTGTATGTTATATTACGTTGTACCAAAATACAAGTTCCGCCTCTTTCTTTATCCCTACAAAATGCAGTTGCTAATTCGTAACCTTTTATTTGTAAGTATTTATCGTAACCATCTCTCTTTGCGTTTCAGAGAAACATAGTATATCGGGTTCGTTCTCGGCCTCACGTAACTCATGGAGTGTTAATTCTAATAGTTCTTGTTTTGATAAAATACTAGCAATGTTTTGGTGCATGATTTTGAGAGAAAGAGATGGCTTTTGCTTTTTGTTCCCGAAAAAACTGATTTCCATCTATTATGGGGAAGTAATAGGGTATGGTACCTTTTTTCGAATCGAAAGTGGATTTTATGGCATTAGTTCCACTGATGGAAGCACTTTGTAACTGCATTTTTGCGAAGTAATAGGGGATTGTGCCTTTCAGGTGTTTTATATTAAATTTAGTTGCTTCCTGAGGCTGTGGTTTATTGCGAATTATTATCTTTTGAAGTTCCTTAATATTTAAATATTTATTATCGTAGTCAATACAGTCGATGATATAATTGATTGATTTACAGATTTTAAACAAATTGCTATTAATACATTCTACAAAATAACAGTTTTTATAAGCATTGCAAGTAATTTTTAACGCATTATTCAATTCATGAACATTCAAATACATATTTTTAATGGGTTAATAACTATCACAGAATTGTTACTAAATTTATTGAGCAAACTACGTAATTGAGATGTTAATATATTAATATCATAATCATTTTCACCGATACATATTACAATTTGTTTCTAATATTAGTAGTACATAAGGTGGTTCATTGTTTTGTAAAAGAGCGCCTCTCCCCATCAAACGTAAAAGTTTGGCGAGTTTAGAATTAAGTAACACCACTGTATGATAAATTCATTAATAAATAAATTAAAAAAAATATATCTTTATAAGCACTAAAAGCCTTACAACATGCTCAAAATTGCCTATTTAGACCGCTGTCAACAGAGGCCTAGTGTTCAAATTCGATAACTAATACTGAAAAAAGAATAACATAGGGACACAGTGTATATCCTTCTTATTCAGTTTATGAAATATCTTATAAATGGCCCAATACTGGAGGTAGAGAGCCAAACCTCGAATAATGCCTTTTTTCTTAGGCTATTGAAACGGATCTTTGTCGTTATCGGACGCCGAGCGCTCGCTGAGCGACAGTGATAGTTTCTTGAAATACCTACCCCTTTTCAAAAGTCTCTCGGTTCACATTTCCTCTTAAAGCAATAAAATGTATAAGAATTAAACTAAAAAAATAAAGTTAATGAAGTAAAGCTAAAGAAGCAGAAAACTTTCTCTGCCTTTGGTGTTTATGGAATCATGAAATATTGTGTATGTAGAATGTCCACGTTAATATCAACAATTAATTGGTTCTGATTCTCCTTCATCACTGAACACTTAGTAAATAGCACTTGAAATGGCGATTAACAATAGAAATTAACAATGTTCATGTGCAATTTATGAACTTAAAACGAAAACAAAGACGCGTGCGTTAGTGAATATAAATTTTACATTAAACATTATATAGATTTTATGCATAACTCCTTCATCCAACATCCATTACTGCCTATAAAAGATCCTATAGATGGGTCTTATACGGGGTAAGCCTAATTGCCAAACTTGGCATTCGGGTTGGCAACCAGAATTTTTTTATTTTGGGTTTACAAGAAGAAGATCAACATCTTCTTGATAACCCTGTTTCAGTGTCCCTCTGTCGCCTTTTACTATTTCTCTTAGGCCGCATACGGCCCGAAGTTTATATAAATAAAAATCAATTGACGCATGCCTGAAGGACCATCACTTGAGAACGGCTGGACTGATTTTGATGCAATTTTTAATGGGTGGGTCCCTGGATGATTTAGATTTACAATTGGACCAGGTAGGTGGCGCTGTTGTCGAGATCTAGAACTCACCCGTGTTAAGTCGGGGAGGAACGCTAGTAGTATAATAAAATAAATTTTAAGGTCATACGTTCACTTTTCATACCTTTGCATAGCGTCCAGTCTTTCCTGTAGCTCATACTGTGACGAAAGCAGTTTCTGTCGACTCTGCCTTTCGGCTTCTAGTTCCGCGCACAGTGCCCTCTTCTCCGATTCGTGCTGCTTATCCCGTTCTAAAATAGTTGATGGTGATGTTAAATGTTATTTCCCGCACGTTCAAATCCTACTGGTAACAGCAATAGGTATGGCCTACAAATGTTTGTTTCTGGTTTGATTTTATGGATGTAAAACCAAATGCCTTTCATGGGAAAGTAAATATGGATTAAGGACATTCTAAGTGGGAAAAACGTTTAAAAAAAATAAGCAAATGTCAACCTTAACTGCGTCCTATGCACCCCACGCTCATCAGTCTGCCTGCTCCGCGTGGTAAGTATAGATTACAATTTCAAGAAAGGCTTATCTTTCAACACATTCTAGGACAAGCCAATGTGTCAAATATCTATGTCAATGTCCCATGTTGCTCTGGGACTTATAAGTCCCATGTTATTAAGTTACTCAATTAGTACTAAAGATATTAGGTCTGCGGCTACTATTTAAATAATAATTTGTGCGATGCCAATGTTAAGTGCTAATGAACATTACAGAACAAGATAAGTCTACATAGGAGAGACACGCAGAGTATTATGGCTGAAGCAAGAACGAGTCCACTTGACAAGGAAACGAAAAAATTCCATTTCTGTGTTTAGTGTAGAGAACCGGAGATCCGTTTTACTAACAGCGAGCCATACATTTATGTAGATGACTATGAATATGGGCGACACAATCACTCTGAAAACAACATATTTTAAATTACGATTCGACACAAAATCGAATCCAACAAAACAAACCTTCCCGTAATTGTAAGCGTATTTCAAATGCTTTAGACCCCGCTCTTTGAGTCATGTTTAGCTGGCACCTCGTCAATTTCCTTAATAATAGTTTCAAAAACACCCATCACTTGTTATATATAAAACGGAGAATATAGGAAAAGGAGTAAAGTAATAAATACCTACACCTTTTACATGTTTTCATTCATTAATGTATGCTCTCACGTACGGCAATTTTTTTTTTACTTTTTTATGTAATAGTAAGTAAAATAAACATTGATCTTAAAACGATCTAATATAAAACGTTATAATTTAAAATTAAAAATTTTGTACAGCCGACTTCAATATAAGTTATTTAAGAATAACTTAAAAACTATTGGTCTGACCTTGATCAAATTCATATGGGACCACACGAGAAGTACCAGCTTTCAAATAAAAAAAGAATCATCGAAATCGGTTCACCCAGAAAAAAGTTCTGAGGTAACACACATAAAAAAAAACGAAAAAAAAAAACATACAGTCGAATTGAGTACCGGCTCCTTTTTGGAAGTCGGCAGAAAAGTGAATTACTTTTAAGCACGACCTAAATTTACTACATCGGCCGTAATAGATCCTCTCGTAATTAACTTTATCTATGTACATTATATTTATCAATCAACATGTCGGTCGTATCTAGTTAGCTTTATCTAATCGATTGCTTCAAATTCTTATATGTATAGATCCTATACAAGCAATATAGTTATGCGTTTGTAATCGTGTTCTCGAAAACGGCTCTAACGATTTCGATGATATTTACCAAAAAAGGTTTGACGGAACCGAAAAATCGATCCAGTTAGATCCCATTTTTGGGAAAATTTGTTTTCCCTTATATTTAACCACAATGCTCGCACAATATGATTGGAATTTCACCACAAAGATCAGCTTCTCAACAGCCTACTTGGCAAGAAGGTAGGGCTACCACGCCGGATTGCGCGAGTTCGAATACCTGCAATATAGTCAGGTTTTTATTTATCATTATATTTCTTTAGTATTCTAGTCCACACGACTTCACAGCTGGTCAAAAATAAATTATTATAGACTAATAAAATGTTATGTTTGCGAAGTTACGTACGTACATTTTTATGGCACAATGCTTACTACAAACTTTGGCCGAAAAATGTTTAAGCTGCTATTTTAATACAATAATAAACCTAGCAAGCTAATAGCATAGCAAAGTGGCGAAGCAATCAGCTTTGTAGCGGTTTCTAACGGTTGCCGTTGAGCAATCAGTTTCTAAATAGGTGGTTCAGATGCCTGGGTGATCAGTAATCGATTGCTGAAAACAGAATTTGAAAATTCGAAACTGTTCTCGAGATAATCGTGGGACAGACGGACAGACATCGTGAAATCAATAAGTGACTTCGCAAGCTTCGCCACTTAATAAATGTTGTTACTTCTGCAAAAGAGTTTTGTTTTTTTCTTTGCAACCTCTATTACGCTGTTACAAGGATACGTTTTTTTAGACACCTCACAGATAACGCCGATCACATCGTAGTTTAAAGTAGTTTTATAAATGGCGCTAGACTTTCTTACAAGGAAAACACGTCAGGCAATTGTTCGGACGGTCGCACCTTAACTTTTTAAGTCAAGAAAGATGAGAATAATTTTTTTGCGAAATTCATTTTATTTTATAATTATTAAGTGGCGAAGCTTGCGAAGTCACACACACGAGTCGATGGTACAAATGGGCGTGCCTCAAGGCTCAATTCTCGGCCCCTTTCTGTTTCTTGTATACATTAATGACTTACCTTACATAGTAGGAGATAACCATGATATAGTATTATTTGCAGATGACACTTCTTTAATTTTCAAATTAAGTCGACAATTGCTAAAATATGACGAAGTAAATAATGCTATATCTAAATTAGTAAATTGGTCCAATGGTAATAATTTGCATTTAAATGGCACTAAAACGAAATGTATGAAATTTATGACTCCAAATGTCACACAATTAAATACTAATTTTAAATGGGGAGAAACTGAGTCTTGTAGATACCACCATTTTTCTTGGAATCACACTAGACGCAAAGCTTCAATGGAGCCCCCATATATCAAAACTAGCAAGCGACTTAGTTCTGCAGCATATGCCGTAAAAAAGATTAGAAGTCTAACTAGTGTTCAAACAGCTAGACTAGTTTACTTTAGCTATTTCCATAGCATAATGTCGTATGGTATTTTGCTATGGGGACACGCAGCTTACACTGAAATTATATTTGTTTTACAGAAGAGGGCCATAAGAGCAATTTATGATTTAAAGCCTAAAGAGTCGCTGCAACAAAAATTTAAGGAAATTAATATATTAACTTTGGCCTCTCAATACATTTATGAAAATGTAATGTACGTACACAAAAATAAAAGTAGTTTTACAAAAATAAGTGATATTCATTCTGTAAATACTAGGAACAGACACAAGCTAGTAGTACCAGTTACTCGACTCCATCGAGTCAGTAATTCATTCTTGGGGCGATGTATACGCTTTTACAACAAAATTCCAGAAAATATACAAAATTTGACCTGCTCAAAGTTCAAAAACTTTATTAAACTAAGTTTGTATAAAAAGGGTTATTATAATATTAATGAATTTATAGATGATAATAACCCCTGGAAATGAGGTGATCGCTACCAAGCTATTTCTAATTTGTTGTGTTGTTAATTTGTGTAACATACATGAGTGTAAGCTGTTATTTAAAAAAAAGTCCCGCCGGGTTTCTTGCTGGTTCTTCCCAGGACAGAGGTTTTTTTTCGAACCAGTGGTAATTATACAAAAGAGTGACTTTCAATAAGTATTATTTATAATCTATATTGAATAAAAAAGTTTCTGTTTCTGTTTCTGAACCTCCTATTTTGAAACTGATTGCTCAACGGCAACCGTTAGAAACCGCTACAAAGCTGATTGCTTCGCCACTTTGCTATGTTGTTAGCTTGCTAGGTTTATTGATTTCACGATGTCTGTCCGTCTGTCCGTCTGTCCGTCTGTCCCACGATTATCTCGAGAACGGTTTTGAATTTTCAAATTCTGTTTTCAGCAATCGATTACTGATCGCCCAGGCATCTGAACCTCCTATTTTGAAACTGATTGCTCAACGGCAACCGTTAGAAACCGCTACAAAGCTGATTGCTTCGCCACTTTGCTATGCTGTTAGCTTGCTAGGTTTATTTACATCATATCATCTCTATTACGCTCTTGCAAGGATACGTGTTTTAGACCCTACACAGTAACGCCGATCACATTATTTTATTCGATATTTTATTTTATCATTATTTATATTTTAATAGGCTTTACCTTTCAAAGTGTTACGTTCTACACTCGGCGTCAAAAAAATCGCACATCCGAAAAAAATAATTTAAATACTATTTTAACACAACAGGCCAATGGCAATGTTGTGGTTTGAGGGTATCATTCGAAAGGTAATTTCATTAGCTTTCAGGAATTTTAATTGAATTTTACTTTTATAACGAGACGAAAGAGAAATTAAGGAAAAAGACAGGGTATGTACAAATTTGCAAATTAATAATTTAAAAAAAAACTTAATAAATACAAAAAAAGTTCTTAAAACCTAGTGTTACCCCCCCTTGCCTTGATAACGGCTTCCATGCGATCTTTCATGGACCTCACAAGGGTCGCAACAGCCTCTTGGGGTATTTGTTCCCACTCTTCAAGTACCGCATCTTGGAGCTCTTGAAGAGTGGTTGGAGCTGAATCTCGAGCTCGCACGCGCCGTTTTAGGTCATCCCAGAGATGTTCTATTGGGTTAAGGTCTGGACTTCGTGCTGGCCAATGCATAACAGGGATATCGACCTCCTGTAAATAATCCCGTACAATAGCCACGGTGTGGCAACGAGCATTATCATGAATCCATCACCGACATAACCAGCATACGGGACCACATGTTCCTCCAGGATTTCAGTAATGTACCGACCAGCATTTAATGACCCTTGCCCACGGCCATCCCGAGTCCGGGAAACGCACACAAGTTCCGTTTTCCCGTCGACGGAAATGCCGCCCCAAAACATACACGAGCCACCCCCGTATTCGACGGATTCTTCGAAGCAGGGTTGTGTGAACCTCTCCCCCTGTCTTCTGTAGACCCTTCTACGTCTGTCATTGCAGAAGAGACAGACCCTCGTCTCATCAGAGAAGAGTAAGGTCCGCCACTGTTCTAGAGTCCACTCGCAATGATTGCGAGCAAACTCTAGGCGATCACTGCGATGTTGTGCAGTAAGTTTTGGACCTTTAGCCGGTCTATGGGCTGTTAAACTCTTTTCGTGTAATCTTCTTCTTATCGTAGAAATACTCACAGATGTTCTCCGAGTTGATCGAAGCTGTTGTTGCAACTCAACAGCATTCGTAAAACGGTTTCGTAAAGATTTCGTAACGATGAAACGGTCATCTCTTTCTGATGTGCACCGTTTTCTTCCAGATCCCGGTTTTCTAACATAACCACCAGTCTGCTGAAAACGTTGGAACACCCGTCCAGATCGACCCTTTTATACCCTTTTTAGGTGGTGTAACTAGCGTCCTTACTAACGAGCATTTGACAGTGTTTATTTTTGACGCTCCATAATGATAAATATTTTAATGATTTCATGATTTTTTTATTAATAATGTAAAGCTATTCAAATACCCATTTCAAACATACCAATATTTATATAAATATAATTCGTTTCTAGCCATTACAGCCATTTTTCGCGCAAACTCAGAGTGGTGCGATTTTTGTGACGCTGAGTGTATTACATAACATGTAAATAAGAAAATCTTTGATTTACCTTCAATAGCCATTTCGAAATGTTCCTTGGTACTCTTGAGCTCATCTGCTAATTTCTTGCTTTCCTCTAGCCATACGTCCTTGTGCTTGTTGTATTTGTTCTCCACCTCATTCTTCTCTTCCACGAGTCGCTTGTTGCTGTCCCGTTCACTCGTTAACTCGTCTTGCAGCGACGCGATCAGACTGTCCTTATCTTGAATGTCCACTCTTAGAGTCTTTGCTTCAATCTCTACTAGTTTTAGGAGTTCAAGTTTAGCCCTGAGTACGAAAAATTAATGTAAGTTTATTTAAAATTATGCTAGGTGATAAAACAATACAGTAGTTGGTGGCCTATAACAGTCGCTGTGTTAAAATATAATGTGTACAATCCATTCATCCATAACAGGATATAAAAGTCCACTGTTGAACTGTGATTTGTCCCTGTGATTGCCTCATGGGGGGATTTCGCCATAGTTGCCACACTTGACAAGCGGGTTGGCAACCGCAGTTTTTTATTTTTAGTCGTTATTAGGCAAACGCTGATGCCCATCTCCTTATTCGTTTCCGTCTGTCATCTCTTACGCCATTGTCGGAACGCTATGGGGATGTGGATATTTTTACACCGCCACTACACGGTTATAATGTACATCATTTTTCATAACTCAGGCTTTGTTGAGTTCATACAGCCTGCAGTGAACCACGACTCAAGTTCGATGATAATCCATTTCTCATCACTCGCATCACGTCTCACGTCTTATATCCAAGTTAATTTCATATATAACAATAAATATTTGTTTGTTTGTTCTTCTTAAATGTGTTACTGACAAATAATAGGATTTCTAATGCATGCGGAACACATAGTCTAGTTTTTATAATACGTAAAATCTTTAGTGTGTCTGTTAGTGATCCCATAACTTTTGAACGACTTGACTGCTTGTGGTCATATATTTATTTTGTCCAGATAGGTGGCGCTATAGTCATGTTATAAACAATTTCTATATTTATGTACCAAAATGATTCATTCATATTCACTAAATATTCTGGTTTAGTGCCCCAAATGGAAAAAAGAATTTTGGAACCGATAGGTAGCGCTGTGGTAGAGTTAGTAAATTTTATATTTACACTCTTCGCCACCTACCGGGAAAAGCAGAACAGCGTCTACTTTGAGCGGGCATAGCTGATGATGTTAGTTGGTGAGGTAACGAGGTGGTGAAGAAGTGAGTCAGTGAGGAGGTGCGGTGGTGAGTAGGTGGGGTGGTGCCGACCTGAGGTCCGCGAGCTGCGCCTGCAGCGGCTCGATGGCGCGGGCGCGCTCGAGGGCGTCGCCCAGGCGCTGCTGCAGGCTGATGATCTTGTTCTCCAGCCCCTTGTTGAGGCTCTTCACGTGGTCCAAGCTGCGCGCCTCGATGCGGAGCCGCTTGTACTGCCGCCGCGCGAGGAAACGACGCACCTGCACAGAACATAAAACTTTGTAAATACAGATAAAAATAGACAATAGACTAGGAATAGAAAAGGACCAAGAATTAAGCACCGGGGAACACCTATTAACACTTTCCAGACGACCCAGATAAGCTGTTACACTTGATAAATATAAGTTTAAGCACAATGTTTTTAAACCATAATGTTGTAGTTTGCTTGTTTTATAACTGGTGATCACACTGGAAGGCCCGGATAACACACATAAATAATGTGTGAAAACCTATGTAAAACGTTTTGTGTGCAGCAATTCATTTATAGTCAAATATTTTTATATTTGATCAAGAATTATTTTAAAAATAAATATAATTGTTATTAAAACAAAAATAGATATAATGTTGGCATATTTTTATTAAGCAGTGGTCCAGCGACATTAAAATAAGAATTTAAAGGTTTTAAATCATATATATACGAGTATATAAAGTACTAATGTAACCTCTATTTGTATGTAAATGTACAAATATTTATTTTGTAACTTGCATGAAGTGCTTACTAGGGGTGTTAATAATATAAATAGCATTGTTACTATTTTCCAAAAAATAATACAAAATAAATGTCTGAGACACATTCATAGACAAGAAATACGTAAAGTACGAGTAATACAGCATATTATATAGCTATAGGAATATATAACCTATTCTCATTTCTTTCATAAAAAAAAATACAATTATATTATGGTTGTAGCACGAATGGGTAGCCTCGACCACGCTCTCACAGAATACCAGTGTAAAATAGCAGCTTGATGTGTTTCATATGTTGAGTGTAAAGAACCGGAGACCCTTTTTACTGGAAACGAGGCATTCCATCTTAGTCCTCAGGGGTGACAACGCATCTGCATTTTGATTCTTAATTGAGGATAATTGTAGATGTCTATGGGCCACAGCATCCACTTTCCACCAGGTGGACTGTGTGTTCATATGTCAGCCTTATATACATATATATAGTGAGTGAATATTTAATACTTGGTACAATTTTTTAAGATAAGTTGAGGCAACTCACAGCAGCTTGTGCAATTACAATCTGTCTCTTCATCTTCTTCACCCGCTGCCTCGCAAGAAATCCGCGCGCGTACCTTTGGATCGTGATGACCTGTTAAAAAACCGATTTTAATTATAATAGTTATTAACTATTTCTCATACAGTCTGTAGGCCATAAAAACGACAGAAAATAACTTAAATATAATTGTAGACTCAGGGAGGCACAGGCGCAAATTGGCAAGCCTTTCAGTATTTTATAGGATATATTTCGGAGTGTACGAAGCAATTGCATAAATTAATTCCTTTGTAGAGGGCATACCACGCAATTGCACCATGTTCAAATTGCGTACAATAAATGAGTGGAATAAACCATCATCTGTCTGTTAAGACAAGTTTTGGTTAAGTTTTACCATCAAGTGTGAAGCGAGTATAAAGAGGGGAACGTTCACCAGACCGAATTTCTCATGAATAAAGGTGGTCAGTTTCAAAATAGGATTATTGGGCAGAAGTGTATTTAAATAGCATGTAAGGAATGATACAAATGTTGGTGGATCAATAAATAAAAAAAAAAGTGTGTGAGCAACTAAGTGTGTTATAATTCCACAGGTGCATTTCCTACTCCCTCTCTCTCTCATACTGCGATAGGTCGGCTATCCGACACTACCGAAGCTTTACGTACTTTCCGAGGCACTAGAGTGAAAAACCGCAATACGTTTTGACTTCCCGTTGCTACTGAGAATTCTTTGTTAAAATATTCCAATAACTGATTTTACGCGCAATCGCGTAATCGCGCTTATGACGACTAGACCTACAAGACAGAAGAGAGTCAGTAAGTATAAAGGGAAGGTTAGAGGATGGGGGGGGGGGGTCAGTTACCGCAAGCACGCGTCGCCTGTCGCGGTAGAGCCGGCGAGCCAGATAGCCCCGTGCGTGCGCCTGCAGCCCGATGGCCAGAGCTCGCAGCCGCCGGTACTTGCGGCGAGCGAGCCAGCCGCGCACGTTGCGTTGTATCTTGATCGCGGCGCGGTTGCGACGCACGTCCTGCGCGCGCCTGAACAAATTTATCAAATTATTTACTAAAATACACCACACGTATTAGAGCCACGCTGCAGCTATATTAAGAATTAAACTTGTATAAATAAAATACTTTAATTATTTTACTTACATTTTTTACAATATATAAAAGGCGACAGAGGGAAACAAACCAAGCGATAGGAAACAAGTCTTCCTAACAACGACTAATACACATGCATGAGTGTCGTGGAACACTAGGTTGGAACGAAGTTCTTTTCGTAGTATATTATCATTGATGAACGTATTATATTATTGATTAACAAATACAAATAAATGAATTACTAGCGTTTATTAAAATTAAATGTCATTTAAAATAATATTTCTTTCATGACAAGATAAGAAAAAGTGCGAGGGAGATTGATATTATTCCATCTGTCCCGCACTATTGAAAGGGGATCGTGACGGAAAAATCTTACACTATTTTCTCGACTAGTCCCCATCCGCCAAATTTGTACCGTGCGATAAGGAATTTCGTTCCAAAAAGAAAAAAAAACTAAGTAGAGTGCTCACGTAACAAGCGTGGCAACTGAACAAATATTCCCTCTATGCCTTTGGAATTCTGATAAAATATAACTAAGTGAATGAATAAACGAACGAACGGACAAATGAATGAATGAATAAGGAATGAATGTATGAATGAACGGCCTAGCCGTCTGTTGCAGATAATTTGAGCAGTGAATAAATGTATGTATTTAAATCTTATATAATGTCATACCATGCAAAATAAAATGATAAGTTATATATTTAAAAATAGAAATAAGGTAGCATGTTAAATAGAAAGATTAATAACTGCAACAGTAATGTCGACGGAAACCATTCAACCAAACCGATTAATAAATGTCTAAAACTTTAGCATGACCGTTAGCGGCCTTGCTTGAAGATGTTATAATTCAAGAACTTCGATGCATACTACTAGACCGCCAATATAGAACAAAAACTGTGTCGCAGCTGTGGATCGAGTTAGCTTCGGCCGGGGGATAGCTGGCATATTAAGCATGGCACGCAGTTGTATTTTCATTTACGACAATTACTGTTTTACTAGTAGACACATACGAAATAAAATTACTTACTTATCTGAACTAAACTTAAAATCACATTGACAAAGTGCGCATATTACTTGGTCACATTAAACAAAATGAGTGTTAGATTATCAAAAACAATGTTCAACATCATCATCATTACAGCCCTTCATAAGTCCACTGCTGAACATAGACCTCTCCCAAGGAGTTCCACAAAGCACAATCCCGAGCCACCTGCATCCATCGACATCCTGTATGTCTTAACAGGTAGTCACTCCATCTAGTGGAGGGACGCTCTACACTTCGCCTGCCGGTTTTTCTTTTCTTCCCCATTGGTTGTCGGTTCTTAGAGCTATATGGCCGACCCATTGCCACTTCAGCTTACTAATCCAAAAATATATTTTATTTGTAAACGTTTGGGGTTTACAAATATAAGAATTAATATTCTTGCCTGTTCGCAGTCGACTAAGAGTAACGGCGAATTGAGCGTAACTTAGTGCGTCTAGTAGTACATATGTCCTTGATATAATTGATACAAAATGAGAAAATAGTAAAATGAATAAATGAAGTGCGCCTGAAGGCCGCGCAGCGCAAGCACGAGTCGCATGTACTTGAGCAAGTACAATATATGAATGAATGAATGAACGAAGCGTGTGCGTACCTGCGTGCGAGGAAGCCGCGCGCGTGCGCCTGCAGCCCGCGCAGCGCACGCACGAGGCGCAGGTACTTGCGGCGCGCCACGAAGCGGCGCACGCAGCTCTGCACGCGCACGCAGTACACGCGCTGGATCTCCGCGCGCACCTTCTCCAAGTACGCCACCTGCACGCACACACGCACAATATTGTTAAGGCGAGGATTTCTTCCGTTTCTCCGCTACATATACAGGGTTATTTTGCGAACTTTGTCCAAATTTGCAGAGGAGGTTCAGAATAGGTAATATAGGCGAATAGTGGAAAAAAATTATTAAGAAAAATCTTAAACATTGCCCTTTTTATCTTTTTAATTCAGAATACTTGGTAATACATTATTTGAACTGATTGTCATTCATAAATATCTAACACCTACTATTTTACTACGCATATACACATTAGTAAGAGTCGCTCGGTCACAAAGTTAGGTACCTTGTCGGGCGTCTTCTCGCGCGTTTCCCTTCCGTTAACCATTACACCGCTAGATACTTACGTCCGCCCGGCCAGCTGACAGCTGACAGTGTTGACTTGATCGTGACTTCATTACGTACGAGTGTACTAATCTTAGATTTTCGTAGGCAATATCAATTGTCACTTCGTTACCAATGACGCAACGAAAATATTTGAAATTATGAAATGCTTTGGTATTACATTTTAAGCAATAAAAGTTTACGTGATGAGCAATGATTAAACGAAAGTGAGTCTTTACCGCGTTTGCAAAGGCGAGAATTTAACGCAATCTCAACAATTCATGTACCCAACAATCGAAGAACAATTGGCAGCTATTCCAGTGTTGTCAGATTGCGAGATTTTCCCCTAAATTTAGTGGATATTAGACGGCTTGGTGGAAAATATATAAATTAATATTAAATATAATAATATTATTATTATTTAATAATAATATTTAAAATTCTGCATCATTCCAACCTACGAAAAGTATGCTTTAAAAAATTTGTAGTTCAGAAATGTATAATAGCGTAGTAGATGAATTTGTGATCAATATTTTATCAGAACTTTAAACAATGTTTTAAAAATTTTGAAAGATTAAAATTATTGAATAATTTATAAATTATAATATAAGTTATTATTTATATTAAATTTGTTATAACAATATGTTTTTTATATTTTACTATCGCCTGCACTAAACAATGTTTTTTTTTTTTTTTGGAAAAAAAGATTTAAACCAACAAAACAATAAGAGTTTAATGTACATATTTCTAATCATAATAGAATACTTTTATATTGAACACAATATGTAATAATTTTGTTATTTAAAATTATTCAAAAATTAGTACTGCATGTTTTTTTTTTTAATTTTTCATGTACAAATTTTTAATTTTTCTGATAATTTAAAATTTATTTGATTTAGGGGATTTTGTTTCAATCTAGGGGATTTTAAGTGGGATACAAGAGAAAAAAAACATTGTTCAGTCAATACTATATCGGCACTGACAAATTGACTGTAGTTCGAGCGATTTGTGACCTAGGCGTTATACATGACAGTGAAGTAAGATTCATCAGGCATATCGATTATGTAATTTTCTTAGCTTAGGCTCAGGGTTATGTGCTGAGAAATTCCAGAGTTCATGCAGCCCTGTACTACAATAAAACTGGTTAATAGTTTGGTAAGGAGCAAACTAGAATACTGTAGCCTAATTTAGAGTCCTTTGAAATAAAAAAAAAGTTGGAATTGATTCTGTATAATGTTTAAATAAAATTTTATAAATGTTATGCTAATCTGTATTAATATTATATAATAATATTAACATATTATTTATTTAGGGGCTGAAGCTACTCGCGTCCGTAGGAATTACTTGAATCCTGATTCCCTACACGTATCCGCTGGGTAGTGCTAAACGAGCAGTATTACATACTGGTGGTAGGTTGGTCCTCTACTAGTGAGATGCCCGGCCGAGGGTTAGTTACTATCCACCTAGCAAAGACATACCGCCAAATGATGCAAATCGTGTTACGGTATGATGTTAGGTGAAACCCATTTCTTAGGGAGAATGGGTCTGGACAGTTGCGTTGCGCATACGAACCGGTTGCGACGCGTTCGTTTCTTAGTGTCAGGTGCCTGGTTACGGAGGTTAATGGGAACCTAAGGACGGTTGCATCGCTGGGGGCCCAATTAATGAGCCAGCCACTCATGAAAGCCTACCCCGCCATCTTACGAAAAATCCTGGGATGGCTCCACCATGCCGGTTGGCGATCGGAGGAGAGGGCCTCGTGGCGATTTCCAGGATGTTTCGGGTATCCCCGCGATCTCCATGCTAGGTACCATCATGCTGTGACTCTGTTTGCGTCCCTAGGTTTTATGTGTACCGCCTCCTCCAACTGGCATTCTCTCTACCTATTCATTCCCACCATCAATAAAAAACAGGAAAAAGAAGAGTAAGTCTGTACAGCGGTTGCACTCTCTCTCCATCAAAGTGCACCTCACAAACATCCGAGGTCTGCACTGTAATCTTAATGCAGTCCATTACCACCTTGAGACTGACAAGCCGCACTTATTCTTCTTGACGGCGACGCAGATCAGATGTCCTCTAGATGCGGCGCACCTTGGCTACCCTGGGTACACATTGGAGCATTAATTCTATCAGCGCGCCGGAGTCTGTGTTTACGTCCGCAACGACATCTGCTGTAAGCGTCTCCGTCACCTTGAAGACCCTACTTTCTCTACGATCTGGGTATTGATAAACACAGGAATGGATAAAATTATTTATTCTTATTCTAACTATCGCACATCGGTGACCAGGATACAACTAGGGTGTTTGAACACCTCAGTGAAGCTTCTAATGTGGCTCTAAATTGGTACCCTAATGCACAGTTGGTTTTTTGGGGACTTTAATGCCTGTCATCAGGACTGGCTGTTCCCATACCAGAAGACCGACCACGCTGGGAGAGATGTGTGGAATTTAGCCTTGTCGCTGGGGCTGTCCCAGTTGGTACAAAAAGCGACTAGGGTACCTGATGTGGATGGGCACACAGACAACTGCCTCTACCTTCTGCTGACGACCGATCGAGACAGGTACGTCGTTCAGGTTACCTCACCTTTGCGAACTTCTGACCACAGTCTGGTGAAATCTGTGTCGTTATATTCTTCACCTAACTACGATTTCCATAGTGTACGACGAGTGTGGCGATATAAGTCAGCAGATTCGGATGAGATGCGGCATTTTTTACATCTTATACTTGGCGGCAAGTGCTCTGCTTCTCCTCTGAAGACCCGTCGAGCGGCGCGGATGCCATAACCAATGTGATACGTCAAGCGATGGAGTATTTCATCCCCTTTGCTGACGTACCCATTGGTGGTAAAGTTCGCCCATGGTTTAACGCAGAGTGCGCTCGTGCTGAAAAGCACAAGCATATGGCGTACTTTTCCTGGGTCGATGCTCGAGACTGTAAAGCTCCGGATGTTAGCCTTAAGAAGAGAGCCTTTAACCAAGCCGCCAAGTCCTGCAAAAAGGCATTAAGCTAAGCCAGTTTTGACCGCATTAAACGCATCGGTACAAAGCTCTCTGTTAAACCATCTGGCAATAGGGCTTTTTGGTCTCTCGCCAAAGCGGTCGAGACAAACTTCTGTCGGTACACTGCCTCCACTGGTAAAACCATATGGCTCACTGGCACATGCGCCTAAGGAGAAAGCGGACTCATTTGCTTCTCGTTTTGTTTGCAATTCGCGCCTGGACAGTAGCAACAGCGTACTATCTCAATTACCTCACTGCAGTACCTCTATGTCAAAGGTCTGTGTCACCAACAAGGAGGTTATTAAAACCTTGTGAAGTCTAGACGTGAACAAAGCTAGTGGACCTAATAGTATACCAGCTATAGTTCTAAATATCTGTGCACCTGAATTGTCTCCTGTGTAGACACGCTTGTTCCGCCTCTCATTCAGGACTGGAATAGTGCCTAAATCTTGGAAGCTGGCCAATATTTAGCCTGTACCTAAAAAAGGTAGCCGTACCGACCCTGCCAACTATCGACCAATTTCAATTACCTCCATACTCTGCAAGAGTATGGAGCTTATATTCAACGCCCTTCTCATGGCATACCTAGAACAAAATGATCTTCTCAGTGATCGCCAGTACGAGTTTCGCCGAAATCGATCAACTGGGGATCTTCTAGCGTATGCCACTCACATATGGGGCGAAGCCCTCGAGAACAGTGTTAAAGCACTTGCTGTTTCCCTAGATGTTTCGAAGGCCTTTGACAGGGTCTGGCACGCTAGTCTATTGGGCAAGCTTTCAGCGTACGGCTTATTCCCTGGCCTGATTGCCTGGGTGAAGGGCTATTTGAGTTAACGGTCTCTCCAGGTCGTCGTCGATGGCTGCTCATCCGGTACTGTGGCGACTAACTCCGGTGTTCCTCAGGGCTCCGTTCTCTCCGCAACTCTCTTCCTGTTGCATATTAATGATCTGCTCATTCCCGGTATCTATGGGTATGCAGACGACAGTACAGTTGTGAAGAGATACTAAGTGCCCGGGCCAGTCGGGATCAAATCCAGTCAGAAAGAGAGGCTATGGTTGAGCATGTGACTCTCACACTACAGGCAGTCTCCGAATGGGGCGATGCCAATCTCGTAAGATTTAACGCCTCCAAAACAAGCGTGTCTTTTCACCGCTAAAAGGAGCCTGCTACCTTGGCTTCTACTTTCCGGAATGTATCCTTGGAATACACTGACCGCTATCAGTTGTTGGGGGTTGAATTTTCTTCGAACCTAAACAATGGGCGGTTCATTGAGTCTAGAGCCAAAGCAGCCGCAAGAAAACTTGGTGTCCTTGCAAGGGTGCGGCGGTACTTCACGCCGGGGCAGCTTCTTACTTTATATAAAGCGCAAGTCCAGTCGTGCATGGAGTACTGCCGTAACATATGGGCTGGTGCTGCAAAATGCCACGTGGCAGCGTTGGGCTCAGTGGAGAGACGTGCTAAGAGGCTCATTGGTGACCTGGATTTGGTTGAAACCAATCCTGTCAGCCTCGAGCACAGGCGCAGAGTAGCCAGTCTCTCGGTATTCTATAGGATGCATTTCGGCGTGTTCGCAGGAATTACACGCTTTAATTCCTCCCTCTCCTTTCCACCATCGGACAACCAGGCGGTCGGCGAGTCTTCATCCCTTTGTTGTCGATA